GCGTTCAGCCGGTGCGATGCCAATTGGTGGTTTCAAGGGATTCACGGTAAACCTCGCACGAAAATACCTGGAGCCAACAGCGGACTGACCTGAAGGCTTCCAAATGGCCATCGCCCACATACCCTCCCAAACAAGCGAGGAACATGAAGCGGAAGCCACCTGTCTCAAAAGAAACAACCTCCAGACTCCAGACACAAAAAGCAAGAACCCGACATAAGGAATACGACAAGAGCAACAATCTCCAGGCAACCATGAACCTGAAAAGAACCCTCTGGAAGACCATTCTCCCAAAGCGGGGACCCTCTTTCAGGTTCCATGTTTGTGTTGGGAGGGTAACCGTGTTTGCAGGGCTCATTTGTTCAAGTGACCAAGAAAGGTGCCCCTGAAGATTTACTGGGTGAACATGGATTTCACAACTTCCATTCTTGATTCAGTCCTCAGCCATACGGGTTGCGGCATCTACTTGCACCCCTTGGTGTACTCCAAAAGAACCCTCCTGCCTGAGCATACCAACCGGAATCCCCGTGAAAGAATTCTGCATGCCAGAAGGGTAATGAACTAAAGATTTTACAGTCCTCTTATGGATGATTTCTCTCACACACACACACACGACCGAATCATCATTTAGTATGTCTATTTGCTTTTCCTGGACACTTTGAGATCGCGACATGAATAGCTGGATCTGAGGAGTTGCGGTAACTCTTTGACCACTACTCTTATTGGAAACATATCCCCAACATGTTCACAGGATTGCCTTTTGGGAGCTGCGAAAATAATCTTTTTGCACCCCCCTTTTCAGAGGGAGTGATTCTACAATCGGGGCTCCCATATGTTTTCCCCCATGGGTATGGGTCAAAATTAAACCACCAGGAATCGGACCGCAGGTGTTGGTCCTTGTTTCCATTTACCAGGGCAACCCATTTTGGGTTTGCCCGGTTTTGACCTACAGCCATTTCCCTATATAAATGTTCAAGTCAACAAGAGCCCCTCCCTTGGACTGGGTCTAGAGTAGGTGACCCTATCTGGCATTTATTGAAGGAATGAAGGAATGGCAACCAAAATCTGCAACCAATATCATATCTTTTTTGGGGGGTTCCAACCAATGGGCATCCCATGTGCCACGGACCTTTTGATCTTACTCCCCGTTGGTTGGTTATCACGGTATTCGCCTTCTGCTTTCCCTGCGCATCAAAAAATGGATTGCCCCCCGCCCTCCAAACGCTCGGGTTTTGCTGGCCGACCCAACGCCGTCGACGCCGCGGCGCCGACCCAACGCCTCGGCCACCAGCGCCTTGGCCGCCCGCAGCACCCGCCCCAACTCCGCGGCCTTGGCCGCGCGCAGGCGCTCCGCCTGCGCCACCTGAGGAAAGTGGGACTTCCAACACGGAAATCGCTGGTTTCCCTTGGCACCAACCACGGGAAGGCAAAACTTGCCGGTGCTCAGTAAAAACAAACAAGTAGAAACCAGGGATTTTTGTTCAACCAAACCACCAAGGATGGTTTGTGGGGGTCATTCCCTCATTCCCTGCTGAGACCCAGCAAGAAAATGATGGAAATACCCGCGCCTCGGCCTTGCGCCGCTGGAGCTCGCCATTCGCCGGGCGCTGATGCTTCTGCCTCTCCTGGCGCAAGGCCTGCAGGCACCTCTGCGCCTCCTGGCCGAGGAACTGGAGATGCGTGGTGGTTTCTCGTTTTGGGCCATCCAAGTCAGGTTGAAGTTCAACTTTTCATTTACCTGTTTAGTATTCCCAATGGGGAGACAGGTTGAAAAGTTGGCCCGCACAAGTAAGGGCCTTTTCTGGTCGGAGACTTGGTAAACGTGCCTGGCAAAAACTCCCAGTTGGTTGGAAGAAGCCAGCCTCGATATGTTGGTGACTTGAAAGTGAGTTCGAGTCGGGGACCCCTTTGGTTGACATGTTGTTTCACGGGAACATAAGTCTACCAGTAGAGCCGGCGAAGCCGGTGGGCGGAAGTTTAAAAAATATAAAAACTATAGTTATCTTTCTCTTTCTTTTCTTGACTCTTCTCTCTTCTTCTGCCTTTCATGGTTTCTTTTTTCTCCGTCCTTCTTCCTTTCTTCCTTTCTTTCCTTCCTTCCTCCCTTCTTTCCTTCTTTCTATCTGTCTTTTCTTTCTTTCTTTCGTTTGCTTGCTTTTGTGCTGTTCTTTCTTTTGTCTCTTCTCTGTCTATGTATCTATTTATTTATCTATCTATCTATCTTTCTATCTTTCTATCTATCTATCTCTTGTTTAATCCATCTATCTATCTACCTATCTCTCTCTCTCTCTCTATCTGTCTATCTGTTTATCTCTATCGATCTATCTATTTATCTCTCTCTCTCTCTATCTATCTATCTATCTATCTATCTATCTATCTATCTATCTATCTATCTATCTATCTATCTCTCTGATCTATTTATGTATCTATCTATCTATCTATCTAATTTATTTCTCTATCCAGCTACCTATCTATCTATCTATATCTCTATGTCTCTTTCTATCTATTTATCTATGTATCTCTCTATCTATCTATCTATCTAGCTGTCTCTCCATCTATCTCTCTATCTCTCTTTCTTTCTATCTTTCTATCTCTCTATCTCTTTCTCTATCTCTTTCTATCTATCTATCTATCTATCTATCTATCCATCTATCTCTCCATCTATCTCCCGCGTGTCTATCTATCTATCTATCTATCTATCTATCTATCTATCCATCTATCTCTCCATCTATCTCCCGCGTGTCTATCTATCTATCTATATATATATATATCTATCTATCTGTCTATCTCTCTATCTCTCAGTCTCTCTATCTATGTATCTCTATATCTCTCTATGTATCCCACTGTCTACCTATCTATCTCTCTATCTCTCTCTCCATCTGTCTATCTAGCTATCTATCTATCTATCTCTCTATCTCTCTTTCTTTCAATCTTTCTATCTCTCTATCTCTTTCTATCTGTTTATCTCTCTATCTCTTTCTCTATCTCTTTCTATCTATCTATCTATCTATCCATCTATCTCTCCATCTATCTCCCGCGTGTCTATCTATCTATCTATCTATTTATCTATCTATCTCTCCATCTATCTCCCGCGTGTCTATCTATCTATCTATCTATCTATCTATCTGTCTATCTCTCTATCTATCTATCTCTATCTATGTATCTCTATACCTCTCCATGTATCCCTCTGTCTACTTATCTATCTATCTCTCTCTCTATCTGTCTATCTATCTATCTATCTCTCTATCTCATTATCTCACGTGTGTTTATCCATCTCTCCATCTCTCTATCTTTTTTTTCTATTTCTATTTATCTATAGATCTACTTATCCATCCATCTCTCTATCTACCTCTCTATCTCATTCTCTCTACCTATCTATCTATCTACCTCTCTATCTACTCATCTATTTATCTATCTATCTATCTATCAATTTATTTCTCTATCTATCTACCTACCTATCTATCTCTCTCTCTATCTCTGTTTCTATCTATATATCTATCCCTCCATCTATCTATCTGTCTATCTATCTGTCTATCTACTTATCTGTGTGTTTATCGTTTATCTATCTATTTATTTATCTCTCTATCTCTCTATCTATCTATCTCTTTTTCTATCTATCTATCTATTTATCTGTCTCTTTTTCTTTATATTTATCTATCTCTCTATCCTCTCTCTCTCTATCTCTCTATCTTCTAGCCCTCTCTCTATCTATCTATCTATCTATCTCTCTCTCTATCTCTGTATCTCTCTCTCTCTGTCTATTTATCTATCTATCTTGCTCTCTGTCTCTCTCTCTCTTTATCTATCTATGTATCTATCTCTCTCTCTCTCTATCCATCTATCTTTCTATCTCCTTCTCTATCTCTTTCTATCTATCTCTCTAGCTATCTCTCTATCTGTCTATCGATCTATCTATCTATCCATCTATATCTGCATCTAAAAGTTGCGATTTTCAAGCCCCAGCTGCGAAAGTGGACTTCACGTACTACTTTCGTACTTAAAAGTTGCGATTTTCGAGCCCCAGCTGCAAAAGTGGACTTCGCGTAGTACTTAAAAGTTGCGATTTTCGAGCCCCGGCTGCGAAAGTAAGTGGACTTCGCGTACTACTTTCGTACTTAAAAGTTGCGATTTTCAAGCCCCAGCTGCGAAAGTTGACTTCGCGTACTACTTTCGTACTTAAAAGTTGCGATGTTCGAGCCCCGGCTGCGAAAGTTGACCTTGCAAAAGCGCTGCGCCTGCCACGAAATCTGTGCTTGACCTTGCGAAAGTGCTGCGCCTGCCACGAAATCTTTACTTGACCTTGCGAAAGTGCTGCGTCTGCCATGAAATCTGCACTTGACCTTGCGAAAGTGTTGCGCCTGCCACGAAATCTGTACTTGACCTTGCGAAAGTGATGCGCCTGCCACGAATTTTGCACTTGACCTTGCGAAAGTGCTGCACCTGCCACGAATTCTGCACTTGACCTTGCGAAAGTGATGCGCGTGCCACGAAATCCTTACTTGACCTTGCGAAAGTGCTGCACCTGCCACGGAATCTGTACATGACCTTGTGAAAGTGCTGCGCCTGCCACGAAATCTGTGCTTGACCTTGCGAAAGTGCTGCGCCTGCTACGAAATCTGTACTTGACCTTGCGAAAGTGCTGCGCCTGCCACGAAATCTGTACCTGACCTTTCGAAAGTGCTGCGCCTGCCACGCCATTCAAACCTTGGGAAAACTTGACCTTGCGAAAGTGCTACGCCTGCCACAAAGTCTGAACCTGACCTTGCGAAAGTGCTGCGCCTGCCACGCAATTCAAACCTGGCAAAACCTTCGCGTTGCCGTGCCAATGGGCCCGCGCTCCGAACGTGCTCCGAACGCGCTCCGAACGCGCTCCGAGAGTGGTCTGAGAGTGGTCCGACCAGGCGCCGCGAACAGGCTAGCTTCCAGCTCTCCGGAGACACCAATTCACGCACGGGGCCACGCTTTTTGCAGATTCCTTACTCCCACCACACGCGCGCGCATATTTTCTCGCGCGCTTATTCCTTCTCTTGTCATCTGTCTCAGCGAGAGCTGGCTTTCAATTAGTTGCCGTAACACGGAAGTTCCTTCTAAACTTCCTTTGACAAACCATATTCCACTATCCGAGCTGCGCCGATTGACTTTGCTATCTTTCTGCAGCTTGTAAGCGACGATGCTCGAACTTGATGCCAGTAAGGCCCCTCCCCCTGGGAAACTCAATCTCAGCCCGCTAAATGTCGCTGGTACTCGCTGTCATCAAGTTGTCCACCTGATTGAACATTTAAACCACAGTTAACACATCATTTCTCTTCGGCTTTCCGCTCCACGGTTTTGCCCAACCATGAGATGGCCGCATATCAACGGCGGATTGTGTGATGAATCCATTTGTGATGCATCCCTTTGGCCTTTTTGCTAGCTGGTTCCCTGAACCCTTAATCATGTTTAATCCGTGGTTCACGCGGGTTCATAGTAGGACTTTTGGGTATCTGACCCCAATATAAAGATGGTCTACACCCTTTCTCCCTTGGTGGTAGTGGTTTGTGGGTGGAAGCCTTGCTAGAGACTTCCGCCGCTCACCGCAATTCATGAAGCATGCAAACCCACCTCATATATTCAGAGTTCCTTCTCAGCAATGGTTCAGTTGCTGTGGCAATGTGATTCAGTGGAATTTCAAGAGCTCAGCCTTTTGTTTTCAAGGCTTGTCCAGTCGTTCAGTGGCTGCTCAGGGTTTGCTCAGTTGTGTCAGTTGCCTGTAAAAGGTCACAACAAAAGCCCTGAGGAAAAGGTGGTCCAAAGTCAGATGAGACCTACTGTTCCTCAGATTCCTCAGTGAAAGGGCGATACCAAAGCAGCACATATCAGTGCTGTGTGCAAGCGTTGATCGAAGACAGTTTGCCCCATGAACCCAACATGCAACCTGAAGTGCAGTGAAAAACATAGCCCACTTTGTTGTCATCACTCTTGATGAAACCGGACCAAACGACTTTGCAAATATTCGTGATACTAGTATCTATATATATATATATATGTATGCATGAATACATGTTTAATCTGGCCCTGTTGCCAGCCGTCTTCCACCTGCTTCAGGGCAGTTCTGCAACGACGAAGCTATGCAAACAAAGGCGTTCTTCGGCGCCACGGTTTTTTGTCGGCCTCATCTGTCCAAACCGCCGGGTCAGTTGTCACACACCAACTTGAAGACGCCAATTTGAGTCAAGTCAACCCGATTCGAAGTTGCTAGGCTTACCAAACACGGCCCAAAGGTCAAAAGGTGAACAAAGCTCGACGCTTTAAATTGAGGCAAGCCCAACAAAAATTGGGGCCAGTTGCCACACACAGATGAAACCACTTCAAATTGAGGCAAGACATGAGGGCCCTTCAACCCCTCCCGAGCAATGCTCCCCTCGCCTGCTCCTGGCGCAAGGCTTCCGATGCCTCCTCACAGGCCCTCTGTGCCGCTGCTGCCGCCTCGAGAAATTCCAATGCGAAGCGCCCCCGGGCATCAAAAAAACGCGGACTTTCTGCGTCTTAGCTGACACGGTTTCTTTTTTTCTTTTCTCTGGTGGCCAAACAAGAAGGGAACAAGAAAGGTGCCCCCGAACACGTATAGCGGTTGAAAATCGATGGCACAGGGGAGCTGCTCAAGTGACCAAGAAAGATGCCCCTGAACACTTACAGCGATTGAAAATCAATGGCACAACTTCCATTCTTGATTCAGTCTTGGGTGAGGCGATGCTTTCGAGGAGATGTTCTGCTTGTATATACCCAAACTGGGTCCCTCAAAGTGACCATGGTGCTTTTTGTTTTGTGGGCAACCTTCCCCAGAAGTTTTCAGACCCCCTGAAATCGTTCCGGCCCTAAAGCAAACAGCTTGGTCATCCTGGGCCTGCGACTTGAGAATGGACATTTCTGCAGAAAGGGTTCCTTCAATTTGCAATCGTCCCATGGAACCCAAAAAGGAACGCACATGGGCGATGCTTGGCATATCCAAAAGGGACCAAGATGCCGTGCAAAGGCGATGTCAAAAGAATGGAAGCTTAAATATACAGAACCACAAGACATACGCATGTAGCAAAACCAGTTGTACCAACTTATTGGTTCATGCTTGAGTGACCAGCATGACACCAATCATTTGGAGGGGCCTGTTTTCGACAGGTCGAAGAGGTTTCAAAATAAGTCAATGACTTGCTCTGGAAGTACACTGCCAGCAAGAATCATGTCAACTTGTTGGCCAGGTTTGGGTCAGTTTAGGTCGAACAAATTGAGACACCTAGTTGGATTCGTCTTTGAATAGAGTATGAAACTGTCCCTTTGCTGTCCCGTTAACACAACCCCAACAAGAAAACGGGTATCTGTTGTCTCAAACAGAAAAACACACACACTGCAAACAATCAACCCTCGCTCCCCTGTCAAAAAAAAGGAACCCCTGAAATATGTTCGAGGGATTTCCTATCGTTCAGTGGCCAACCATGAAATGTCCGACCATTGAAATTCAGCGTTCAGAGCACAAATTCCAGACCTACAGTGGATTCCATGCGGGAGCAACGGAAAACCGTTGCGTGCCGTTTTGCGGGGCCCTCAGATCCCCTGCCAAAAGTGGGTTAAATGGAAGCCGGCACCAAACCAACTAACTAAAACGTCCCCTTAAACGCGCCATTCCAACTCATTCCCTGCAAGTTTTGGGGGGCACGCTTTTGGGAGGTGGTTTAAGTGGGTTGAATGGAAACCGCCACGAAACCAACTAAAAACACCCAAAAACCTAAGGAACCGCATGGCTGGTTGAACCACCCAGAGTTTGGGGCCCGAGTCCTAAAAGACGAGCCACCCAAGTGGCCACGTCGCGAACGCGAAAACGTCGTCGCGCCTGCTGCGCCTTGGCTTGGCGCATGGCGTCGCCGTGCATGGCGCCGCAGGCCTGGCGTGGTGTGCTTCAGTCGGATTTGTAGAGTGTGGGGTGTTGTGTGTGCGGGATTGTGTGAGGATTCTGCGGGGATTCTGTGGGGATTCTGTGGGGGTTCTGTGAAGATTCTGTGGGGATTCTGTGGGGATTCTTTGGGAATTCAGTGGGAATTCAGTGGGAATTCAGTGAGAATTCAGTGGAGATTCTGCGTGGAGAATCCGCGGGCAAAATAGTTCTATGGCAAAGCTTGAGAAAGTTTTATCTATTATTTGTTAATCCCAATCCAAACTGGTAGGAGCTTCTAAACTGTCTGGTTCTCGGTGAATCGCGCGAGGGATTTTGGCTAGAAACTGGAAGAGACCCCGGTAAAACTCAGACGACATGGTTCAAGTCGGACGGGGTCTATTCCATCTCATTCCCTGAGAGCCAGCAAGTTGGGCAAGTCGCAACACTCAACGCTCTGGTGGCACAAGCATCTAGCCTCCCCCAACAAAAGGAAGCAACCTCAGAGGGGTCCACTACCTCTAAACTACTGCTCTCAGGGGAACAAAGACTACATACCACAATCTAGCTCCTATGCAAGGCTACTATACCTCCATTCCCCACAAGGGTAGCCGGAGAGTGGAACAACAAGGAGACCAAGCCCGACTTTCTACCCACGCGGGCTTTGCAGGGCTGCTGAAGTGTAGAAAACAAAGGTGTCAAACGAAAATAGAATATCTATCCTACCCAACCATCCTGTAGAGATACATACACATATAGATCGTTGGCATATGAGCCACATTCAATGTCAATGTTAATGGTGTCCCCAGCTCACGTTGACGTTGGATGCTGGTGAGCAACACTCAATGTCACCTCCTTTCCTATGGTACTCAACCGCTCTGAGAAGGCGTCGTGATCAGCATCTTCCTAAGAGTCCTCGCTGTGGCGCGGGAACTCTGACGAGGTAGGTTGACATGCTCCCCGTGCAAACCTGCACTCAGAAACAATGTCATTGGTTTGAAACAGAGACCAAAGAGACAACCCAACATGTTCGGGGCTCAAATCCCCCTTTTGACACATAAACCAGAGCATGGATATGGAAAATTGGGTTTTAGGCTGCCACTTTCAGTGAGTGGGAACATAGGGATACTCAAATATATAAGGTAGCCGACTTCGTTTCAGGTTTCGTGTTGTTCCGGCGCTAAACGGGACTTATCGCTGTCGTTTTCGCACTCAACTGTCTACCATCCTGGTAGCTCCCAAAGGCTCCCTTCTCAGCAGCAAGGCAACCAGCACCGGAAACCTGTAACAAGTTCGGGTCAAAAAAACAATAAACGACTCAGGGCCATACAAAAAACGGCCCCCGGGTCAAAAAAAACGATTCAGAGTCACACAAAAAACGCCCCCAGCCACTTTTTGGGACCATCCGACTCGCCTCCTTCAGCGCCAGAAGCCCCTCCAGCTGCTGCCGCTTGGCCGCCAGCTGCGTGCGGACCTCACGCGTTGGTGCGAGAAACTGGAAGCCTGAAGCGGGAAAACCGTCGCGCCTGCCCAAAGGGCCCAGAGACCATGAGGTGATCACCTTTTGGGGCCACGACTAAAGCTGGGGCAAAAAGGGAAAAGGCTTTGAAGAATTGAGCCGTGTACATATTTCAGGGGGTGGGGGTAGTATGAGGGCTTCAACAATGACCAGCATTTGCTCCTATGATCATGACTTTTGGCTCGAAAATACCCCACAAGCCCTTCTAGTGCCCCTATGATAGATCAAAAGAGTACCCCTTATAGTATCCCACAAACGAATATAGTCTATTAGGCCCCAAAGGGATTCCTTCTCCCCCCCATTTCCACGGAACCATCTCCAGTCTTCAGGAAATTACTGCATATAATCCGCACAGATTTAAATGGTCTCTCTTCAGAATTCCCGAACAAAAACAAATCAAAGTGGATTAGCTTGCTTGTATCATTTGGGCTCACTGTTCGAAACTAATTCAAACGCTTGTGATGCCTACTGAAGTTTGATGATTGGGTCCGGAATAATACAATTCCGGGCCAGCCAAATGCCTTTTTCACTTCACGCAATACTACATAAGCAGGGGCGAACTCTGACGTGAACTGACAAACAAACAACAGGCCAACCCCCCAGGCCGACCCCGGACTCAAATTGATTCATAAACCACCAAACAAACTAAATTAGTAAGCAAACCCAATACCACAGGGCCAACATTTCAGGAAGCAACAAAATCAGGAATCACACAACCATCAGGAATCAACAAACTTCCGGCATCCAAAATATTCAGAAGGCTCTGTTTCTCAGAGGCTGCAGCAGCCAGAGGAGTAGCCAGGAGACTGACCTGTACATAGACCCATCAGACTCCGTAGAGGCCTGCCAAGTTTACTTTCTGTTTTTTGTTTTTTTTGGAAAGGGTACTCGCAAAACACACACACACATGTACGAATTCTGGCAGCTTTCCCAGACAGCTTCCTTCAAATCCGCAGTCTTTAGCTGGGAATGTGTCAATCGGTCAAAATGAATTGCCGGCTTTGGCTTCGGCTGTGTCAAAAGCTGCCAAAAGTCGCTCATCCACCTCCCAACGCCAGGCTGTGGATGTCGGGGTCCCCGAGGTTTGAAACGCTCTCACATTGGAAATAAGGAATCGCTAAGTAAGGGAACTTTCATCCAGCGTCACCTCCTGATGAGTTCATTGTGGACAAACGGGAGAGAAAAACTGGAGGATGCACAGATTCAGCGAAGCTAAGCAATACAACGACACAAATCTTGAGTGTCCTACTTCACAGTTGAACTTCTCAGATAGTGCCGACCCTGGATTGATCAGCCTGCGGCATTCATGGGGGGGGTCTCCCAAAGTGAAGAATTCCCTCTTTCAACCAGGGGTTTATCCACTGGGTTCCTGTTAGGGCGTAGTGGTTGCAACCAGGAGAGTTTTGGAAGCTTACCATTTTGGTGAATTCCAGCTTCCAGCTTCGACGTGCTTCGTGCCCACTTTCCGCGCAAAAGCCGGAAAGCGAGGTTCCAGCCAAAGCAAACGCTTAACGCAGGAATCAAGGAGAGCCAGCAGCTTGAGCATCACTTTGCTGTTGACTCATAATGTATTGTGTATTCCAGCGTGCAAGTCAAATACACAAATGCAGGGTACCCTTTCTACCCCTTAAAAGAAAACCTAAAGAACAACCACCCAAATCCCTATTTTGACGCAGACCCAGTTGGGTCCCCTCCTCCCCAAAAAAACGGGCCTCCACTGTGCGAAAGGCCTTCTCCGCCTCCCGCTGCTGCTGTTGAAAGCTCCTCCGCTGCGTCTGAGCTTTCGCCTCCTCGCGCCGCCGCACCTCCGCTTCTGCCGGTCCGCGCAGAGATGCTGTGGGTGGACCAAATCCCAGTTCGCGCCAGCTGGCAGTTGGCTTGTCTCAATATTTGCAGAGCTTGGTTCATCCCAACTGGTGCGGGATTTTGTCCATGCACAGTAGGAAGAATCCTGTACCAATCACCGTAGTGCTAGGAAAGAAGGCACCCGGAGCCATAGTGGTTGTCTTCCAAGGTTCCCCGTCACTTGCTTTGGCGCCAACGGCCAGCTCATTACTTCACCCTTCTTTTTGATAGGGTGTCCGGTCGTCTCCCAAGCAGTTCAGGGTTCCCGACCACAAAAGGATATTCCAAACCAGTGGTTAAATGTGATTTTGGAGTTTGCCAGAATATGTTACACCCTGCATTTACACACGTATGTGTCGATGGCTTCTCGCTGCATGTATGTGCGTTGGATGGAAAAGCATACAAGCAACCAAGCATAAAGGCAACAAATCAACCATACAGCATAGAAGTTCAAGCAAGCAAGCAAGCAAGCAAGCAAGCAAGCAAGCAAGCAAGCAAGCAAGCAAGCAAGCAAGCAGCAAGCAAGCAAGCAAGCAGCAGCAAGCAAGCAAGCAAGCAAGCAAGCAGGGCAAGCAGGCAAGCAAGCAGCCAGCAAGCAAGCAAGCAAGCAAGCAAGCAAGCAAGCAAGCAAGCAAGCAAGCAAGCAAGCAAGCAAGCAAGCAAGCAAGCAAGCAAGCAAGCAAGCAAGCAAGCAAGCAAGCAAGCAAGCAAGCAAGCAAGCAAGCAAGCAAGCAAGCAAGCAAGCAAGCAAGCAAGCAAGCAAGCAAGCAAGCAAGCAAGCAAGCAAGCAAGCAAGCAAGCAAGCAAGCAAGCAAGCAAGCAAGCAGGGCAAGCAAGCAGGGCAAGCAAGCAGGGCAAGCAAGCAGGGCAAGCAAGCAGGGCAAGCAGGGCAAGCAGGCCAGGGCAAGCAGGGCAAGCAGGGCAAGCAGGGCAAGCAGGCCAGGGCAGGCAAGCAAGCAAGCAAGCAAGCAGGCAGGCAGGCAAGCAAGCAAGCACGCAAGCAAGCAAGCAAGCAGGGCAAGCAGGGCAAGCAGGGCAAGCAGGGCAAGCAGGGCAAGCAGGCCAAGCAGGCCAAGCAGGCCAAGCAATCAAGCAAAGAAGCAAGGAAGCAAGCAAGGCAAGGCAAGGCAAGGCAAGGCAAGGCAAGAAAGCAAGGCAAAGCAAAGCAACTCAAGGCAAGGCAAGGCAAGGCAAGAAAGCAAGGCAAAGCAAAGCGACGCAAGGCAAGGCAATCCAAGGCAAGGCAAAGCAATGCAAAGCAAGGTGAAGCAAAGCAAAGCAAGGCAAGGCAAAGCAAGGCAAGCCAGAGCGAAGCAACGGCAAAGCAACGCAAAGCGCAAGGCAAAGCAAGGCAAGGCAAGGCAGGGCAAAGCACGGCAAAGCAAGAAAGCAACGCCAGGCAAAGCAAGAAAGCAAGGCAAAGCAAGGCAAGGCAAGGCAAGGCAAGAAAGCAAGGCAAAGCAAAGCGACGCAAGGCAAGGCAAGGCAAGGCAAGAAAGCAAGGCAAAGCAAAGCGACGCAAGGCAAGGCAAGGCAAGGCAAAGCAATGCAAAGCAAGGTGAAGCAAAGCAAAGCAAGGCAAGGCAAAGCAAGGCAAGCCAGAGCGAAGCAACGGCAAAGCAACGCAAAGCGCAAGGCAAAGCAAGGCAAGGCAAGGCAGGGCAAAGCACGGCAAAGCAAGAAAGCAACGCCACGCAAAGCAAGAAAGCAAGGCAAAGCAAGGCAAGGCAAGGCGAGGCAAGAAAGCAAGGCAAAGCAAAGCAACTGCAAAGCAAGGTGAAGCAAAGCAAAGCAAGGCAAGGCAAAGCAAGGCAAGCCAGAGCGAAGCAACGGCAAAGCAACGCAAAGCGCAAGGCAAAGCAAGGCAAGGCAATCCAAGGCAAGGCAAAGCAATGCAAAGCAAGGTGAAGCAAAGCAAAGCAAGGCAAGGCAAAGCAAGGCAAGCCAGAGCGAAGCAACGGCAAAGCAACGCAAAGCGCAAGGCAAAGCAAGGCAAGGCAAGGCAGGGCAAAGCACGGCAAAGCAAGAAAGCAACGCCAGGCAAAGCAAGAAAGCAAGGCAAAGCAAGGCAACGCAAGGCGAGGCAAAGCAAAGCAAATAAGCCAGCAAAACGAAAAACAAACCACTACACAAGAGCTCGCGAAGCAAGATCGCCATGACACCCCGACGGTCGCCTCCTTGAGCCTCTGGCAGCGCAGCTGCCGCCGGGCCTCCGAGGTAAACCTGGCCAACCCCACGGACGTTGGTAGCTTCTTCATTTGGATTCAAAAGGACCTGGGGCTCAAACCCGAAAACCGCCCATCCAAACCAAAGGGGTGATGACCTGACTGTTGTAGGTGACAATGTTCAAGGAGCTTTAAAGAAAACAGATTCTGGGTGGGTTGAAAATAGGCGAGCATCGTAGTTGCTGCGGCCGTTACAGTGTTCTGCGCGCTCGGGCAAAGCCAAACTTGGGATGTCCAACATATTGTCGACCCCTGATTAAGAACCCCCCCCCCCGGAATTCATCCAGTTATTAATTAGGGGGGGGCTGGAAGGAAGGAATCCCCACTAAAAAGTGACCCCCCTGATCCATAGCTGGGGGGTTATTAAAGAGGGGTCAGCATTATTACTTGTGCCTGTCCTTGTGTCTGGACACTCACCGAGGAACAATGTTCAAAGTCTGCTTTTTCAAAACCTTTCAAGGCAACAGCTCTTACCCTTGAAAGGTTGATCAAAGCTTCTTCTCACTTTTCGTTTGCCGGACATGGCTGCACCACGACAGCGTGTTCTAATAAACTTGCCGAGCTTCTGCCTCAAGGACTTGTCGCCGGAGCATCCCTTTGCTTTCAAACGGCGAACAAATCGAAGTGGCAGCTAGTGTCTGGTGGCTTCTCCAGGCTTTCCCTGCATTCCAGGTAGCACCCTGCCCTAACCGCTTTGCTTTGTTGGCGGGGTCCCTGTAAGAGAAACTTGAGCCAAAATGGAAGCCCCGCAGAATCTCGGTCTAGCTACCACGCAAACCCACAAGGGGCCATTCCCTCGGCACCTTGGCGGCGAGCTCATAGCCCCAAGAAAGGGGCAAAGAACGCTCGAGAAAAAAGCGGCCAAGGAGGACATATCCCGGGGTTGGAATTTGGCCAAGCTTGCCCACACAAATGCGGGCTCTGCGCTGGTTGCTTGGATTCACCACTCGCCGACCCCCGCGACTCTTGTGGAGGGGCTTCGGAACGGAAACAAAGAAATCCCAGCCTCTCGACCTCTCCAGGGCTTGGGCCTGAAGCATCCACTTCATGTCCCAAGATTGGAGAAGGGCACCTTTTCGCGGAACAAATTGGGGCAAATTACGATGTTCAATCCAAACATGGGTTGGTCTCATAGGGGAAGAAGGTGTCTTTTTGGCTTCTCTTTAAAAAACCATCCAAAAAAGGTAACTACCCTCACAACAGACACACATAGAGGACCTTGGGCTTGGATAAAGCAAAAGTAATCCCTTCCCCCGGCAAAAGGACATGGAGCCGGCGAACATCCGTCATCCGTCCATCGAACACCATCACGAAGTCGGTGCTTGGTTCCTTGCGCCCAGGGCTCTTCGCCTTTGTGGAGCAGATCTGCCGAAGCACAACGACGGCTGCTGTTCAAGCTGCCACTGGGTGTGAACACCTTGCCACAGGAGCCAGCGCTGCCTGAAGTGCATCCTGCTTCCACCCGCGGAGAAAGCAGTGCGCTGCCTTCCACTGGCCTTTCGCTGCTGTCCTCCCCTCCCTGCGTTTTTAGACGTTTTACATGTTTGGCCAATTTTGACATTTCAGAGGTTCGTTTGTTCGAAGGGTTCCGACAGGCGTTGTCACGAACTTCATCACTCCGCGCAACGCCTTGCACACCTGTATCCACGCCCTGCCAAATGATAAGCACACCCGTTCAAGCGACCCCGCTCAGCACTGCATCCACGCCCTGCCAAGTGATAAGCCCCACGCCTGCAACATGATAAGCACACCCGCTCAAGCGACCCCGCTCAGCGCTGTATCCACACCCTGCCAAATGATAAGGCCGCCAAGTGAACTGCCCCTGCCAAATGACAAGCACACCCGCCCAAGTGACCCGCTCAACACTGCATCCACGCCCTGCCAAGTGATAAGCACACCCGCTCAAGCGACCCCGCTCGGCGCATCCCCGCCCTGCCACATGATAAACACACCCGTATCAGCAGCTGGCAAGCTGTGAATGTCGGCCTGAGCTATATGGCGGCCTGATCTATCAAAGCTACGCGAAAACACGAAGTTTTGTTTTCCCGCTTCTATCAAAAAACGTGATTTTGCCTAGGCAAAACGCATGTAAGGTCCAAAACGACAACACCGTCGTGGAGGATTTGAGGCATCCGGAACATGTTTTTTGGCAGGCGACGTGCGTTTTGCCTAGGCGAAATCACGTTTTGAGGTTTTCACGGCCGGGGTGAGTTGCTGACAACGCAGGGCGCGTCACGGGCGTCGTCACCGTGTTTTTGGAGTGGGAGATGCCAGATCCGGATTCCGCAATGCTCATGGAGTGTGGGAGTGTCCCTGCTTCTAGACTCCATTTTCGGTTTTACGTCCTTCACGATTTGGAGAACCCCGTATTATTACAAAACGAAGCAGCTCGCCATCCGAAGCTGCGAAGCCCTAAGCGCCAGAAACAGGTGGAGTCGACCTTCTCATTGGACAATCACGGCTTTCCAGAGGGCCATTTGAAAATGGTCGGCCAAGAATGGGGAGTTAATTCAAACGGGATGATTAGTGGTTCCGTTCACACGTGACCTCAGCCAACTGAGCGAGCAAGAGTTTACGGACACCTCTGGGAAAATGCAGTCATCCAAACACATTTTACACACAGGGTGCCAAAAAGGGAAGGAATGAAGCGGCTAAATAACTACAATACCCAGTAGACAATTTGGTTCAATAGTGTCTGGATCCTACGCCACTTAACAAACTACCGGGGCTTAATAAGTACACAGATTCGCTTCAGACGACATTCTGTTCCTCGCCCTCAAATCATCCAAGGTCCCTCATCAAGCGAGCACAAGCCAGCAAAGCTTGGCTCTCAGCTTCCGACGCAGGAACTGGTCCGTGCATTGAATTCCCATGGCTGAGGAGCTTTTCTGGGTCTGTCTTTTTTGAAACCCAAAAGGGGGTTGCCCTCTTTGGAGACAAGATCCATGTCGCAAGCTGGTTTTGTGTTACACTTTGCTCACATGAAATCCACTCGCTGTATATCGCCCCGAGTTTGGCGTTGCCTGCGTCGGTCGTTGGGTCACTATGGCCAATCAGAATGGGCTTGCGGAGCACTTTCAAACTAAAATCAGTCATCATAGGACAATCACCTGTACATTTGGACCCTTACATCAGGGAGGACACCTTGTCCTTTTCAAGCAAGTGGCATGGCCACCGCCTGACTCCAGCCTTGAGCCACAACAGCTCTGCGGGCGATCAGGCACATTGTCTCGCTTCTGATCAGGTGATTGTCCCAGAAAGTCGAAGCCTCCGGCTTACCACTGACATGGTCTTTCCAGAATCTTGGGAACGGAGTGGGGTCTCTCTTGCAGCCTCTAGCAGTTCGAATGAGTTGGGAGGCAAATGGACCAGCGGTGAACGCCCTCTTTTCAAGCCTACAGCAGGACCACAACAGGAATGTTGCACTGTATTGGGATACTGGCCCTGCTTGGTGCTATTTGAGACTTAATTCCGGTCATTTTCCAGGTGTTATTCCAGGCCATACAAAAACCCTTGGACTGGGCTCGTTTTCTCGCAAAACAAAGATGCCCAACAGCGAGCCTTGAACGGGCCATGTGCCCATCCCATTTGTGCGGTCAACAGTTGCACCCAGTGGACATGGGTGAATCGATTGCGCCTACGTGGACTTCGTGGAATTTTCGGAGAGTCCCTCCACCACCCCCCCAAAAGAGACAGGCTTTGGCCAGCGGCACCCCCTACACCGCCAGCCCTGCTATATTTCCCCTACTGAAACACCCACCTCACCAACAGGAAACTCACTTCAAAACGAATCAAACACTAGATGGTGGTTGGAAGGGAGCCAGACTCACAGCTGGGGTATCCAAATCTGCCTTTAGGGCGCCTTCTGGAGCTACCAATCGGAGTCCTGCAAGCACATAGCAGAATGAAGAATGCGGCTAAGACAGATACCGGTCATGTTCATAGGTGTCCTTTTAGGAGAAATAGATGGCCGTGGTAGACAATTAAACCACCAGGTAAACCAGGGAAACCCATCTATTTCTCTACCAAGACAACCAAAAAGGATAGCTATGGTCCTGTTTCAAACCGCCAGGCGAAATGTTGGGAGCCCTGCACACTTTGCCCGTCGCGCCCGGTTCATTGGCAAGCCGCCCCGGCTTCCCCAAGGGGCGATCAGTGCGCACACTGAGATTTCGCCGCACCCTGAAAGCAACAGCCGAGCCGTCCATAGAACATCTGCAACAAAAGCGGCAGTGCTCCGAAAGGAGTAAACGCACACGCCTCCCAATCCAGAAGCGAGGGAAGCTGCAACAAATGTGATTTCGTTGTTGCTTCCCTTTCAACCAAGCCGCAAAACGCATATTCAGCAAAACAAACACCCCAAATGCAAGGAGGCCCTGTTTGTCCCACCGCAAACTTATCTTTAACCTCCACTTTACCGGTCAGTTCACGGGCCTACAAAACAGGCGGGGGGGAGGTCAAAAGAAGCTGGTCCGCAAGGATGGCCTGTGTGTGTACTGAGGCCTGGTCCCATGTTCAGGATGGATTTGGGTGCGTGTGAAACTAGGGGAGCCCCAAAATGGCTTGAGTTGTCCTTACCGACCCCAAAAAGAGTACCCTCACAAAACGTGCCAAGACCAAGTGCCCATACATTGATTGGGGATTGGAATAAGGAACCAGAGAACATGAGTGAATGACATAACCTCCTTTTCTGACTTTGAAAAATAAAACTAAAATACAAAAAGGCTTCATAACTAAAGAGTTAATAATACATGTTAAATACAGTACAACAAATACTATAAATAAACATATACAATTTGATGTTAATTGTGCCAAGACGAGACGCCAAAAGGATTGGGAGATGCCGCGGTGTTTCGCGCCCGGTCACTGCAGTGGCAGCGGCTCCCCCTCGCGCTGCGCCGCCTTCCGCAGCCGGGCCACGTCCATGGTGAAAACCACCTGGGCGTCGAGGGGCCTTCGACGGGCTGGTCTCTTAGCCCAAATCGAGTTGTATGCATAGGTGTCCGTTTAGGGGAAATAGATGGGTTTCCCTGGTAGATGATTAAGCCACCAGGTATACCAGGGCCTTCGATTTTTCTACCAAGACAACCAAAAAGGACACCTATGGTTGTATGGGTTGTCTGGACGCCCAAACCAGCTGTCTTTTTCAGGTGTCCCTTGAATACTCTGCAGAAACAAGTTGGGTGAATCTACAGTGGCGATCTATTGGTGGACATCATGAGGATGTTGTGTCCACCAAGCATTTGGCAGGCAAGCTGGGCACTTTCTTTAGCAGGAACACCCCAAGCAACAGCATTTGGAAGGCCCAAAGCATCTTCAGCATCACTTACCGGGGATGCACAGATGGCTGAAGTTGGTCCCGTGTAGATCTGAGAATTGCCGACAAATACATCTTGTCTACCCCTTGAGAACAAAGAGAAGGATTACCAACCGCATGGTACCTAGTCCCTTCAAAACCATTCAGCCTGAGTGGGTGAGCGACTAAGGCCTGGTCTTGTGGTAGTTTAGACCAGCTGCTAAGCTCTGACTGACGCTGCCTTTCAAGGTGTGTCTGCAAAGCCCCGGCCAAAAAACTGAAGCTTCTAAATAAGGCAAGGGACGCAACGCATTCGTTGTTACTGGCCCCCACTTTGACTTGTCCCCTTTGGCTAGTCGGGATTTTCGTCTAAAACCACCGAAAACCGGTTTCCCTGCGTTGACCCACGTTGCTTGAATTTTCAGGAATGAGTCGTGAGGCAATACGAGGACCCAACAAGCTAGAATGGAGTTGCGGGGTACCGCAAAACCAAAAGTCATAGCACAATTATTTGTGTAAATATTTGGACCCCACAAAGATGAGACGCGCCGGTTTCAAGCAAGTAGCATGGATTATATTCCCCATTGCAGGAGACACAAAAGGGATCCACGCCGGACAAAAGTTTGGTATCTGGGCTTGGACCCAATACCAGCGTTCACCCAATACCAGCGTTCACCCAATACCAGCGTTCTACCTTTCTGATTTGCTCATTTTGAAGTTAGTGGCGATGAATCAATCACATGAATCCTATAACCAAAACGATACAAGTCCTAGGCTCTGAGCAACCCTGTTTGTCTCGACGCATTCGCTTCGCTTTCAAGAAATCCCCAGCGTGCCAGGTACCGCAGCAGCCGCAATCCGCCGTTCTCCGAACGCTTTGGGCGAAAGATGTCGAGCAAGTCAGGTTCCGTTTCGGCACAACTGCCTTTCCCCCTCTGCTTCTCTTGGGGTTGTGCTTCTTCCTTTGAGGGACCCATTTTGACCTTTTGAAGGGAAAAAGTACAACCAAAATCCATTGGGTCATCCGTTTGACACCCCACCCCCCTCCCCGCTCCCATGGGGCACTTCCTTTCGCAGGCGTCTTGGGTTCCGGGCTGAGGTATTCTTGCGCTTGGAGATCCCCACCAAGCCCTGCCCAGCGGGAATCATTCTGCCCAACTCCATGCAGAAGTCCACCCCTTTGGTTTCCTCTGAATAAGTTCCCTGTGGCTAGATTTGGTGGGAAAGGAATTGGAGATACTGGAGGTGTCATAACTCTGTCCAAGTTGTTTCATTACGACATGTTGCTGTCGCGTGTATAAAGATTTCATGAAATTGCAACTTCTTGATAGTGGATATTTAATCACATCTTTCAGTGGAAACATTCCCGAAGAATTGGGATCTGATTCTATTCGGTAACCTGGACTTGAAGCAATGCAGCTTGAAACGAATATGGTGGGCGCGATGTCCGCCGACATTGCTCGGCGTGTCGGACACCTAAGAAAGGATAGAGGATAACCCCCCCCCTCCCCCAGCCGACGTCTGTCGCAAAACAGGGGTCCCAGGCTCGAATTCCCCTGCCGGCTCTTTGCTGTTTGGGGTTCCTGCCTCATTTTGCCGAAAATCTGTGAAAACGCTGGAAAACCCGTGTTTTGGCGGGAAATATTGGGGACCAAAGGGGAAATGCAAGGAAGTGCAAGGAAATGAGGGGAGGAAATAGGCAGTCGACATGACAGGAAAGCAGCGGGACCTGCAAGGGAAACAAAGGGGAACTGAAAGGGACACGCAAGGGACAGAAATGAAAACAAGGGGAGTGCAGGGGGAATGAAAGGGAAACAGAGCACAAGGAAACCAATCGGCCCGACGGGAGATGTAGGGAAATGACTCGCAACGAAAGAACGGGACATACATGGAAAGTGAAGCGGACATACCGAGAAAATGTCAGGGACATGAAGGGGGAGTTGACAGGCATGGACGGGACAGGACCAGGACATCATGGGAAACGTGAAAAGGACATGAAGGGGAAATCAAGGGGAAGGCCAGTAGCGAGATGACAGTTCAGGGTCATGCAGGGGCCCGGACATTGAGGCAACTCAGGGGGGACGTGACGCTGCAATGCAGAGAGAGAGAGAGAGAGACGGAGAGAGCGGGAGAGAGAGAGGGAGAGAGAGAGAGAGAGAGAGCGAGACACAGAGTGAGAAAGAGAGAGAGAGAGACAGGGACAGAGCCAGAGCCAGAATCAGAGAAACAGCGAAAGAGACAGACAGAGAGAGAGACAGAGAGAGAGAGAGAGAGAAAGAGAGAGAGACTGAGAAAGAGAGACACAGACAGACAGAGAGAGAGAGAGAGAGACAAAGAGACAGAACGAGAAAGTGAGAGAGTAGAGAGGTTCGAATTAGGGTACCCTTTTTCTGTAGAGGGGCGTGGACAGGAAGGAGACAGGGAGACAGAAAGAGACAGAGAAACAGAGACAGCGAGAGAGAGAGAGAGAGAGCGAGAGAGAGAGAGAGAGAGAGACAGAGAGAGAGAGAGAGAGAGAGAGAGAGAGAGACAGAGAGAGGGAGATTGAGGAGAGAGAGGCTTGGGGGGATGGGGAGGATGGGGAGCAGAGGGAGGGAGAGAGGACGACAGGAGACAAGGGAGAGAGGAAGCAGGAGAAAAGGGAGAGGACAATGTCGGCGGACTGAGCCGGAGGCTCTAAAGTTTGGACTTTCGGCTTCTTTTGTTCAAACCCATCCTGTTTATTTAGCCAGAGGGATGGATCAAAAACAAGCTGGCAACTGGAAGGGGGACAAACACCAATAAGGAGGTCAGCGCGAACACGGGTCAACAAAATGGGAGACGGAATAGTTGACTACGGATGCGGACTATGCTGTATGTGGACCGGCTTTGTCCGCAGCGACCACATTTTGTGGGCTGCTTATGCAACATGTCCATGGCTGACGTGCGCCCAGAATGCAAGCGAATGTGAACCTGACTACTCATGGACAAAGAAAAATGAGCAGTGGACACCAGGATATCAGTTTTGGGCAGTCGCCTATTGGTTTGATAAGCCGGGTACAGGGGCAATACCGCTGGCTACGCTCAGGCAAATGATCAAGTGACTCTTTGGCGGTTTGGACTGGCTTGGGGATTGCCGAACTCGGACATCCAAACCAAGAGGCACAAGCGGCAAGACAAAACACGGAACTGTGAACAGGAAAGGCCACAAGCAAGAAGCTAGGATGGAACCCCGGGTTTCCTATTTTTTGGTGACCCGTGGGTTCTAGTGAGTTCCTTTCGGATGACACAAGCTTGTCCTGTGCAAGCGACCAGTCGCCTGGGTGGGGGCCTGCAAAGGTGACATGGACTCGCCTCATGAGATATGGAACCCCTAACGTGGGTGGCGACCCTTCGGTGTCCCTTACAAACAAGACCAAAATGGGTAACCACAAGCAAGCAAAACAAAACAAATGACAAACAAGGAAACAAACAAACAAACAAACAAACAAACAAACAAACAAACAAACCAAACCAAACCAAACCAAACTAAACCAAACCAAACAAACAAACAACTACAGCAAACCAGGCCAAGCCATGCCAATCCAGCAAGCAAAACAAAAACAACAAACACGCAAGCAAAACACACCAAAAAACAAGCAAAGAAACACACACACACACACACACACACACACACACATCCTAACTGCGCAGTACGAGTATTCCCAAACTCAGAGTGGCCGCTGTAGTAAACAAGTCGACAGCTGTGTGCAAAGTCATACAGACCCTGTATAAAGCAGTACACAGAAAAGTTGGCCAGGAGTTGTATGGAAAGGGGCTTTCGCTCCAAATATATTTCTTTTAGCTGTGAACAAACTAAAAAGAGTCTACTGAACCAATACTAAGCCAACTCTGAAGAGCACAGAAAAAATGCAAGACAATACTGAAACAAGTTGTGTTTACTTTTTCCGGAAGGGATGCTTGATTGCAAAGCCGGAGAGGACCGAAGACTGCTCGCCCAGGCCCAATTCTCCCAAACTGAGCAATGCTCAAAACCCATGGACTGTTTGTTCTACCCTCCCCCAGGCAAACATGGAAGCTCCCAGGACCCCTTTAGAAGACTTGGTTCCATTCACAGAGTTCTCGGAGCTTCCATATTGGTCTGAGGGAGGGTACCAACATGAGTATGCACTAGGTAGTAGAACAATACTAAAATGGCCTTTGGGGGGGTTTGGGCGCTGTTCAATTGCTTTGGTGGTTTCCACTTAGAACTCCCCTTGAATTGTTAGGGGCCTCTGTCCATCAGTTACCACATTTGCCCACTTTTCGAGGCAGTTCTACCTCCTCCCAGTGCCTTTATAGCCGTTAACCAGCCACGTTACAATGTTCCTTTTGGTTTTTGAAGGCTGGTTACCTTGGCTATCTACTATACAGGGAAATGGAATCCTTGGGCCTGTTGGAAACTTCAGATCCCGATAGGTTTCGTTTGGTTCCTCAATGGAAACGGACAACGGGGCTACCTCCAATCTCAAAGGGCGTGGGTTGCTCTTCCCCTGCGCAAAAGGTCGCTAGACGTTTGGGAGGTATAGCAAAGCTCTTGGTTTCCCAAAAGGTCCTTTTGGGGCGATTCGGTCCAACCAACGAACCAACGCCATGTAAAAACCTACTGCCATCCCAAGCGGAACGCCTCCCCGTGGACAAAGAAGCGGTCCTTCTGAGAGATCACGATGGCCCTCGGCAGCGTTTGGTGGCAAATGACAGGGTTCCAAAATATCCAGCCTATACCCAGTGATTCCATTTCCCTGTATAGTAGGACACCAAGGAAACCAGCTTTTAAAAACCAAGATAGGTAACTGGGATCGACTAGGATAAACATCACCTACAAGGGAAAAGCTTAGTGTTGAGCGGGGTTTGGATGCCCCCCCAATTCCTGTTTTTGTTGGGCTTGCCAAAAAGGGAAATTGGAACCATAAGTGAACTTCCAGAGGTCACCGCCTCTCTTCCACTGAAAGGGGTGGGGATCGGAAGCTGATTTTCAAGGGGTCCAAAGCAGTGAAAAGTAAGGGTGAAAACCAGCCGCTTCCCCATTGATTCCCTGCAAATCTATTGTGTAACCCCCTCCAAGGGGTCACCCCAAAGGAGACTTTTGTTGGGTTTCATCTGGCTGTGGGTCCGAACTAGGGCAACCCAAAATGGCTTGCCCTGGTAAATGGAACCAAGGATTCAAACCTGCCGTCCAATCCCTGGTAGTTTAACTTTGACCCACTATATATATTTATATGTATATATCCTTTGAGTACGCGATCTTCGGGCTTTTTGTCGGGTGCCCGGCTGACAAGCGAGGTCCGAGATGAAGTTCGCCAAGGCCTCGTCGAATCAGTGGCTTGGATTGTTCGGAAGTCGGGGGGTCGGTTGGCTTTCAATAGAGAACCTCTCAGATATCAATCCCCTAAGTGGTCCAACCACTTAAAAGCCGTGATCCCAAAAACGGTCCATGTTGCCGGAGTTCCCAATCCACCAGTTGATTCATCCAAGGTCGTCGTTGACATTCTGCACTGGGTCCAAGTGAAATCCTCAAAATGGCCCTCATTGTGGGAAACCACCACCCAAAGCAACTTTGAGAGCCCCACTTAGTGGATTCCAGTTACCCGTAGCCGTTGTTTGTTTGGTGTTTAAAGGCTGGTTCCCTTTCTTGGCTCCCCACTGTCCCTCTGATTGGTGGTTTGGGGGTTTGGTGGTTCGGTGGTTTCGGGGGATTTCCCATCTACCCTCTACAAAACGCCCGTGGTTGAAATCCCCAAACCACCAATCCAAACCAACTAAGAGTTGCCTAACCAAATGCTCGTGGGGCCAAGCAATTGGCCCTCAGAGCGGCCGTGCCTACAGCAAAAGTCGATCACTGTGGATTCATCATCACGTAGACACATAATATATGATACATGAACATGATGTGTTGCCGCTCGCAATACCCTCGCCCTCTTTCCAATCATGAAGTGGACTGGCGGCATGTTTAATGCGGTCTTCCAAAACCCTCTGCACTTCCATGGTGGGAAAATGGACCAACATAAGGAATGATGAAAAGGAAAGCAGCAGACGGAACACCTTCCACCCGCTCGCCTTCTTTTCAAATGCGGCCGTTGAGCCAGGGGCTGAAAGATCAGAGGGGTGACACTTGCAACTGGCACGTCACAAAAGCCATGGGTTGTTCAGTCTCCGTGTTGTGGGTTATCTCACCAGGCTTTCTAACCCCTTACTAAGTACACGTCGCCCCTTTAAGCACTGATTCCAGTGGAACGCAAACAGAAGTGATTCTGTCAAAGTGACTTTGTTGTTTAGAGTACTCAACGTGGCTCGGCCATCTTTGCTGCCTCCTCTTTTCCTCTCCGACCAACATGGAATATCTGGGTGGTTCTCAAGTAGTGATCCTTAAAACCGGGGAGTCTCCGAATTTTCATGTTGCGAACCTCCCATGTGGCTCACGAGAGCGGCACCTGGACGTTGGAGTGGTCCAGGTGGGCGTCGATCTCGTCCAAAACCAGGAAGGGCGGCCTATAGGTTCACCGATCAAAGCGTGCCCTATTTACATTGGCTTTGTCGCAGAGGGGAAGCCCACATGAGACACTAAACCCTAGAAAGGGAGTCTATCAAAACCCGTTGCACACCATCATAGGAACAAAAGGGCAAACCCCGCGCCTATTTCTGGCTGGGAGCGTCCGTACTATCCTTCATCTGCCCATGTTCTGATTGTGGCTCCCATGGGTGTGCTCTGAACCTACGCTGGTGTGATTCGGATTCCCCGCAGTCAGCCCTCTGGTGAACTTTTGGAAATGTGCTCCATCGGGACCGCGCACCCTGAAACAGATCGTGTCAAGCCTTTTCTTGTTACTGATCACTATGCAGGCTGAATATATGCACCATAGTTATGCCGGGCTTGTGGCGGCTACAACTGATGACTAGTCAAAGTTCCACGAGGGATTCCTGGGGTCATACTGGGGCAACACCGTCCATATATAGATATATATATACATACATGTACATATATATATATATATATGGCACCCCCAATAAAAGAAAAACAATGTGTTGTCTGAAAACACTGGTATTTGCGGTGTTTTCTGACAAAAGCCTGCATCTGCCAGAGCACTCATTTCTCAAGCCATTTTCCGCAACTGCAAAAGCCTCTCATCTGCCAAACCCAGCCCATACTTCAACCAAGCACTATGCTTGCATAAGGGCATCTCTTCAAGGAAGCTCTTTGGAAACCGAAAAAACTGAAAACTTGAAAAACTTAAAAAACTGAAAACACCAAAAAAACTGAAAATTAAGGATTTGGAGGGACATGGCGGGGGGGGGGGGGGGCAGCCCCCGTGTTGTTCAGAATCCGTGGTTTTTCAGTCTTTTTTCAAATTTTTCAGGTTTTTTAATTTTTCTCAGATTTCCTTGGCATCTGAGCAGAACCAAGTCCATGACCTCAAGAACGCATGCGACGCTTTCGTATGCAGAAGCATGCCGTCACCCTTTGTGTCCTCCTTGCCAACTGGCATCTTCAGCCATGTCAATTTCCCCATGGCGGAGGCAGGTGGTGTGGAGGCCAAGCGTGCACTGGCTGGAGCTCGTCACAAGGCACTCAATTTTGATGACCTGCCCACGGCCTACGAGCAGGCCCTGACCCTGCCCCCTTTGGTGTCAAAACAGAGGTGCCTCGCGACACCATCCAGGAAGAGGCGGATGGAACACGCACTGTCCTCAAGCACTTTGCCAGAAGTGCAAAGCCAACTTCCTCGAGACAGTCTTCTATGGCCAAGTCCACAGGCCGCTGTATATGAGGCAGCAGCCCACTGTGGACCGGAAGCTTCTCCAGTACTGTCTGGACAACATGGGGGCGAGGCAATTCCGGTGCTTCCAGCTAACCATGCAAGCCACCGCCTCACGCAAGCAGGCTGCCTTTGTGGAGGATGACGACCTGGATGCAGGCTTCGACTTCCTTGCAAAGCATGGTCCGAGAAGTGGATCTGATCTTCAGCAACTTTGCTGGCAAACAAAGGAGTTGCGCAAGAAGGGTTCCCACAATCTTTGGCTGGCCCCAAGCGCGTCGCACTTTGTCATCCGATGGTGCCCTTGCCAGAAAGGAATTCGACTGGCCTCTTCCTTGGCGCTGTTGGGGGAGAGCGGGGCAGGCAGAAGCCCTTTGGGAAGGAGTGTCTTGATGGCTCAGTGCAGGCGGAACAACCTGAGTTGGACTTCTTGTGCGGGGAGCTGGGCTTGTCACCATTGGCGACTTTCTGGATCACCCGACCTCATCAGAGCCAGTGTCAAAGCGCTGAAGTCTTTGCTTGATGTGGGCTTGCATGAGTCTATGTCCTGGGCACGCGCTCTCGTTGCAAACGAGAACGTGAACGAGGGTGAGGACTACATCCCGCACATCACGTTCAGTGGCGTCAAGAAGATGGTCCGGCCTAGCATTAAGGCAGACGCTCTGGCGCAGATGTGGATGCTATCTTGAAGCGGGCATGCTTCATCCTCAACACCAAGAAGTTTGTGTACTACCGCCCTTCTGGAGTTAACGAGGATAAGGTGGCACGCCGCTTTGTGGAAGGCCCGGACTTTCTCACACAGACAGGGAAGATGCTGTATGGCAAGTACAAGGATAGCTGCAAGACGTTGCCGGAGAATTTCGAGGAGGAGGTGCGCAAAGAGAAAGCGTGGCTTGAGCTTGTCTTCAAGCAGAAGCAAGAGAAGCAGGACCCCAAGTACAAGCAGAACCGGCAGCTGAGGCAGCTCTTCCGTGGGTCTGAGGAAAGCAAGTCTTGCCTTGAGAAGATGGAGACGAAGGTCAAAGTCAAGAGAGAGATCCAGGAAGCCCGGACGAACGAGGCCTTGAAGAAGGCCAAGGTGTGGAGCACAGAGCTCACGGCCAGCAGGACTTTCATTGTGTTGGATGATGAGGATGACACGCAAGCCGACATGGAGCAGGAGGCTGAGGAAGAAACGGAGTATGAGGAGGAGAACCCCTTCGGTCATGGCCCCTTCGAGTGAGCATTATGCAAAAGTGCGTGGGCTCAAACTGTGGTATGTTCGCACAGTTTGTACGGCATAATGGCTACCTCCAATGGCACGCGTGCACAAACTAGTGCGCACTTGACACATATAGCATAGGGGCTCTGTTGTTAATTCACACACTCCGCGCACGGCTCTCATCAAGAAGAAAGGCGCTTGCATTTGTAGCCTGCGTGGTGCTTGTGCCTGTGTCAAGCATTGTCACGCACTTACCTCAGACGCACATGCCTTCAAGTCTCTTGGCTATCTATGCATACTGCTTAGCTCGCTCTCTCCTACTTCCAGATGGTGGCTAAGTTCAACCCTTTCCAGATCCGAAGAAGGGCAAAGGCCGCGCAATCCTCAAGAGGCCTGCTAGGAAGACGAACAAGACGTGGGATGCTGTGAAGTACACCAGGACAACTTCGCAGGCAGCTGGACGGAACGCTTCAAGTGGAAGAGGTCTTTGACTCAGCTGCTTACGGCCAGCCCCTTGATTTAATGTGGTGAAGATGCTGGGCCGCATCCTCCCAAAGTGGGAAGGCAAGGTGTGTCCACGCTGTGAGAAGGGCATGTTGTCTGGGCTGAAGCTCCACAGGCATGCCAAAGCACCGGTGCTCCCAGTGGAAATGCTTGGTCTACATCAACCCGCAGCACCTGCAACCTCTCTTCGTGGATGGCCGTGGCGCTGCTGCACAGCCCTTGCAGACACAGGCAGCCCTCCTCATGTTGAAGCTCAACAACAACCCTGTGGCCCAGCGTCTTCTTCATGTCAACCACACGATGATCAAGGACCTTGACAAGAGGCTGTGTCATGCTCGCAAGACATGGGTGGAGGCAAAGGAAAAGGACATTGTCTTTGGCAAGAACCAGAAGTGGGCGGATGTCAAGGCGGACAAGACGACCTTCGACCGCATGGACCTCGGGAACACAGCCCCCGACCCCAATAACCCGGTCGTCTGGGAGCAATGGTGTGGCATAGTCCAACGTGGCCACCCGGAGACACTCGTGTTGCACAGGCTGTCCCCCAAGGAGTCCGCCAAGAGAGCTCCCGGACGCGGAGCCATCAGAAAGGTGGAGCGGTCTCCTTTGGCAAAGAAGCGGTTGCAGGATAAGAAGGTTATCCTGCGCACGGACTCGGCCAAGAGCTACAAGACCAAGGTGCCTGGGGTGCTCCACGACAAGGTGGTCCATGCGAAGAAGCGGGTCAAAGTCAAGGGTCAGTGGAAGTGGAAGGCCCCCACCTATGTGAAGCTTGTAAAGCATAAGAACCCGATTACGAAGAAAATGATGACCGTCAAGTCGGGGACGCGGGTGGTTGACTTCATCAAGAGCCTTCAAAAGAGCTGCATCAGGAGCTTGAAAAGGAGTGTTGAATTCCAACTTAACATTGAACATTTAGTTCACGGGTCACATCCGTTCACTGTGGCTCCAAGAAGGCTCAATCATGGCAGTACCAAACCTGCCCAAATTATGGATATGCCAAGAAGCGCAACTCGAGAAAACAACAAAACACAACCCAGAGGAGAAGTGTCGGATTTTGTCAAACGGGTTTGGTCTTGGTGGTTTTTGCCCGTGTTCTGGTGTTTGGTGTTCCCTGAGTTGTGTTGGGTTGTTCAGATCTACCCCTTCAAACAACAGAAAGCAACAATAACTAGGGTCCTCATGAAGAAGGGCCCCAAACCAGGAAAAAACAGGGGAGGAAAAAAACACAGAGAAAAAAACAAGACCAGGTGCCTGATGCAAAAGGGCCGGCTGAGGTGTTTTTTTTTGCATAGCCCTGGCATTAGCCTAACCCTGGCACGGCCTGGAGACACTAACGGACAAAGGTTTGGGGTAGGTTTAGAGTAGGCTTAGGGTAGTCCGTTCAAAGCTGGTTCAGGCCCGGCATCGTTTTGACATCCTCAGCCTCGTTTTCAACATTCTCAGCATCACCAGGTTTTGACTTAGGCCGGGCTTAGGGTGGGTTCCAGGTTGGCTCAGGGTTGGCTCCGGGTGGGCTCCAAACCTATTGAGAACAAATTTGGGGGTGGCTGTGCTTGCGGCAGATGGTTCAGTGCTGATTTATGGTGGCCAGCCCCAAGAAGCCCCACCATAAACCAGCACTGAACAATCTGCCGCAAGCACAGCCACCCCCAAATTTGTTCTCAATAGGTTTGGAGCCCACCCGGAGCCAACCCTGAGCCAACCTGGAACCCACCCTAAGCCCGGCCTAAGTCAAAACCTGGTGATGCTGAGAATGTTGAAAACGAGGCTGAGGATGTCAAAACGATGCCGGGCCTGAACCAGCTTTGAATGGACTACCCCAAGCTTACCCTAAACCCACCCTGAACCCATCCCAAACCTTTGTCCCACCGAGCCGCCAACCAACCAACCAACCAACCAACCAGCCAGCCAGCCAGCCAGCCAGCCAGCCAGCCAGCCAGCCAACCAGCCAACCCACCAACCCACCAACCCACCAACCCACCAACCCACCAACCCACCAACCCACCAACCCACCAACCCACCAACCCACCCACCCACCCACCCACCCACCCACCAACCAACCAACCAACCAACCAACCAACCAACCAACCAACCAACCAACCAACCAACCAACCAACCAACGAACCACCTGCCAGGGTTAGCCCTGTGTCAGGGCTAGGAGATAGATGATGGAGGTCACCCTTCTTCTGGAGGACCCTGTTTTTTTGGTTTTGTTTTTGTTTTGTTTTTTTCCTCTGGTTTTCTGGTTTGGGGCCCGTCTTCATGAGGCCCCTGGTTTTTTGGTTTTCTATTTTTTCTGGTTTTTCTGGTTTGGTGCCCTTCCACCAGAAGATCTTGGTTTATTTCCTCTTGCATAGGACCTTGGCTTTCCTCTTTCAGAAGACCATGTTTTTTCTTCGATTTTCAGTTCCCCCCCCCCTGTTTTTGAGCTTTTTTTGGCTTGGGGGGGTTCCAGAGGGGAGGTACCATATATGTATATATGGGTTGATTCATTCCACCACTGGCACCACTGGCACGCAACGGGTAAGGAGCCATTATAAATTATAGGATGCTACATCAACGCCTCTTGAAAATATGGTCTCACCCGTTTTGGGCAAGTCAGGGTGGGAGCCCTGCAAAAGTCCCTCCCAAGTTCGGCCGGCAGGATTTGACGACGTCGGCTCGGAGGCCAGCCTTTGGTACGCCTGCAGCGCGAAGAGGAGTGCCATGGCTGCCACCGTCTTCTCTCCACCTATCGGCAGCGAGGTTCAGGTAACCAGAGGTTTTCCAGACGGCTTCCTTTAGAATTCATGGTGGTTTAATTTAAGGTACGGGTTTACATCCGCCTTGCAGACTTATTTCAGGTTTTTTCAGGTTTCCTTTAGGTTTGCTTTTGGTTGTCTTTCGGTTTCCCTTTAGGTTTCCCTTTCTGGTGTTCCTTAGGTTTCCCGTAGGTTTGCTTTTGGTCTCCTTTAAGGTTTCCTTCTGGTTTCCTTTAGGCTTCCCGTAAGTTGTGCTTGGTGTCCATCCGCTGCCTGTTTGAATGTCATTTAGCTTTCCATCCTTTGGGTTTACTCCAGGTTTGCTTCAGCTCTTTTGTTCTTCTTTCGGGGGTTAGGTCTCCTTCAGGTTTCCTGATGTCTTGAGGCTTCGCATACATCCAAATAGTTCGCATTTTCGACATATCCTTTGGCGCATCCGATGATTCCACAGATGGTAAATCTTCTCACAAAACTCCCAACGTTTGCCCCGGACTCATAAAACTTGCAGATGTTTTTCGACAACTGGACCCAATGTCCATTTTCGATCTTTGTGGTTTCGTTGCTCATGCCTTTGAACCAAAAACAGGCCCTCAGAAATCCGGCGGTCGACGCTCTAGATGCGTTGTTTGAGGGGTTTGGTCGTAAACCAAAACGCCTTCCGCTACGTTGCCGCTCAGGATCCAAGGGCTTTTGACAATCCACATGCACCCTGTTTGCTCAGCCAAAGCTGACACTGAAAACCGTGGAAGGGGTACCCAAAACCAGGTAAGGAGGCTCAGCATTTTTGAAGGGTATCCTTTTTGTGGTTGGAGCAAAGGGAAACTAATTTGGGAACACCTTGGAGACAAATCTGGATACACCTTGTTCATAAGCTAAAACCGATGTGACCCCTAGTGACTCTGCCCGCTGGCCAATCAACAGCTATAGCATGTACCCTGCAGATTGAAAATAGAAACCAGCAAAGAGTTCCTTTGTAGAGGCATCCCTGTCAGGCATGTTTTGACCACAACACGTGGAGCATCACTGGAGGAAACAGCGGTTGCCATTTCCCTGCGTAGGCAAGGGAACCACTCCTTACAACCTGCAAATAAGATGACTGCGAAAGTACTGTTACAGTACTTGACTATAGTGGTAACTGGTATCCACCCTGGGCAAGTTCCAATAATTCACAAACCGGAAATGAGGAATCCTCTGGTGCTCGTTATGCTTCCAATTGGCACCTGAGAGACCCCGCCTGAGAGCAGGGTGATGTCGCAAAACCGCTTGGACGGAGGCATTGCGGTGAACTGGCGCCACAGCAACGAGTCGGTGAACATCAAGCGGGGGGGACTTTCAGCGCGAGTAAATTCAGCTTCCCCCTAAGTGGTGGTTTGGAACCCCCGCTGGTTTGATGGTCAAGGGATGGCTTCCCTCAAGAACCAGGAGTTCAACTCCAAATCCACACCAATCCAAACCACCAATTGGGGGGAAGCTGATAAATGGCCTTGTCTCAAAACCAATTGGGAACTCCTGAAAATGGAAGACCAATTCCCCTTCGGCCCACCTGTACAACCCAAAAAGGAGATTCGAAAAGACGCATGCAGCTGCCCAACCAAAATCATCTTACAAGGTTCCTCAATAGGGAATGACCGTTCCGGGTGTTCGGAATGAATTGGAAAAAACTTCAAGGAAACCAAATCGGTTGGATGGCGTTTCTCGGGGACATTCCAACTCACTGCCTATCGCACCAGCAAGAGGGCAGGGAAGGCCAACTACATCAATCCATGGCAGATCTCAGGGTATTGCCTCCACTTTTGGAAGGTGTGCCTCCAATTGCGGTTTTTCGCCCGGCAAGCATGAGAAAATATGTCCCCTTTAAAACCAACAGGGGAAACAAAACATAGTCTGAAACGGAAATGGAAGGTGTGTCAGGTTTGTTGCGCGCTGCAGTTTTCAGATGCGCAATTTACGGGCCAGTCGCCTCTCACAGCCTTAGTGCCTCCGATCCAAATTTGGAGAGGTGTACTACACAATGCCCATATGTCAGGTTCTCCATTTAAGGGAACCCATCGAATCAACTGGGGGTACAAGCAAATAGGATGAGCCCGGTTGCCACGGCAGAAATACGAGTTTCAAACCTGAACAGGTACGGAATGGGGCTTTTCAATTCACACACCGTTGCAAAATGTCTCAAACTGAGTTGGGGGGTGGGTGTTGGGCGGTTGGGCGGTTGGGCGGGCGGTTGGGCGCGCATGTGCAACGCCCGAAAAACCCGACCGCTTCCTCGGGACCGAGGTGTCCTAGCCTTGACGCCGCCATTCCAGGGGTCCTGGCGTCGTCCGGGCGAGTCAAGCCCCTTTTTTGAACACCCGTGTGTTTGAAAGGTACTCTTTTGGGGCTTGGCTTCAAAAGGAAAACATCAAAACCTGTTTGTCCACAAGGGAAAGGGGTCAAGTTACACACATCTTTGCGGCCAACTCCGGCAATGCTTTTTCCCGGCTCCGTGTGGTTGGTTCGTCTGAAGAGGGGGACTGTGACAAAAGCCGCGGCAACCCGCTTTGGAGGCTTGACCATTCCCTCACTTCCTAAGAATGGCAAAAATGCAAAGCAAACTTCTCCTTTGCCGCCTAAATGGTCCTACCACGAGTATGTCCAGAAACTCAGGAAGGTAGCACATCTGATTGGCTCCCAATCCACAGTTCATCCAGGTTGCGTAGCTGTAGTATAATAGCTGTTCCATGTGAGATCGCGTTTCCACTTTCCGCCAGGTCTCCTTCAGTGCAGTATCAGCCTTCCAGGATGGCGCTTCTCCATTTACAAGCAAAAAAGGAGTTCAGCTCCAAATCCAAACCAACCCCTCACCTCCAAATGCAACAGGCCGGCACTTGTCCAAATCCTCGTGCTCACGCCTGAAAAAAATGGAAGTCATATCCAGTAGCCATAACACCACAAATGGGTTCCTAATAAATGGCACTTTCAGAAGCAAAAAAACAAAAATCCACGGGCCTCCAAATCCTCGAGGTCCAGAAACGCCGAGCCCCCTTCAAAGCCTCGGTTCAGAACTCGAGGTCCGAAGTGTCAGGGGTCGAGTGAGCTTTTGAGGGGAAGTGTTGCCGTTTGCAACAAACTCTGTGGAAGCTTCAAAGCTTGAGAGGCAACGGATTTCGAGTGAGGTGAATGATGGACATGTTTAAAAAGGTTCTCTCGGGCTCATGTCTCCATTCTTCAACAAGGGGGCAATGGGCTTCCAGACCACTTCACCCAATTCCATGTACACGGGAGGCTCAAAAGGTAAGTTCACGACCTTCGCTTCACCGAAAGGGAGCGTAAACGATGGGAAATAAAGGGAGAGAAACGCTATCTCAGCTTCCTCTATTCTCTCCCCTTTTATTGTTGTCCCAATTCATTTTGTCGTAACAGCGAAAGAAGAGAGCCATTCCCACCAATCAACCATCATTTGGCTAAGGAATGGATTGGTGGGGAGACAGGTAAAAATGAAATATGAAAAGAGAAGTTACGAAGAGAAAAAGGGACTTGAGTTCCCGGTCAAATGCTTTCCCTTACCTTTTCTCTTTCCTTTCTTTCCCATTTTTATTTGTTTGTATATTGGGAAAAGACAAAGAGAGTGTATAAGGGCTTTCCGGGTGTTTGGCAAATACTGAAACGAACGATGGCCGGAAGGAGAACCACAAACACATCATATCACCGTGAGTTGATGAACAATGGGGCGGGGTGTGGCCGGTCGATACTAACTGTAGCCGGGAGTTGAAAAAAGCTAGGCCATTCATCTGTCATTTAGCTAGCCCAGTGATCAACCAGTTCCCTGTATAGTATAAGAACCAGCCTGTAAAACCCCAAAAGGAAAATGGATCTGGTTGCCTACTTTATGGGCTTGCCTGGGATCTGGGTACAAGTATTCTGACATCTAGATACTAAGTAGCTACCCATCTGTCGCCGTCAGAGCGTTTGCTCCGAAAGCCGCCCGAAACATGGGAGTCTCGGTGAGTGAGGCTCGGCGCTTAGCTAATGCGCGAACATCTGATCGATCATTAAACATACCGAGCCCTGGCTTGAAAAATGGGTTGCCAAAGGTAAACCATGATGAACCCAACCAACTTGTTTCCCTTTAGTCACAGTCGTCAACTGCTTTTCCGGACACCAGGGATCTCCAGGGCACCGTGCCGGCAGCGGCTCTCCGGGTGAGCCTCGCAAGGGGAAAAACTCATCAGCTGCATTTGGTGCAGTTGGGCGAGTGATGAGGTGCATTTGCGGTTCAACCGATTTAGGCGTAGTCCCCAATGTTTTTCTGTGATCTCCAAACGGCTCAAGCCTTGTTCGCGAAAGGTGTAGTCCCCTTTACAAGAAAATGGCGCCTCCTCTCATTCCATTTCATGCATATCCGTATAGCTCCAAAATGAACTAATGGACTGTCAAGGATTCGACCAACCCAAGGGGTGGCAATGGACTGTCCCAATGGGTGTGGTATGTTTTGGCCAACCTAATGGGTGCGGTTTGCTTGTTCATGGTTTGGTTGTTTGGAGCTGAAGCTTTGAGAGTTGGGAGCCAAATAACAGACACCCACCTTGGAGGATCACCCAATCAAACAGATTCTCGATCGAACCTCAGACGAGTCCTTAACCGAAATGGGATTGTGGCAAGTAACCCACGTATGTTGATGGTATTTTTGGTGAGAGTATGGCATGTACCGTAAATAGTGACCGTTGCTAAGATAAGGCAAGGACTATTTGTAGGTAATCATCCAATAACGCTTATCAAGCAAGTCATGATTCAGTCCATGTTTCTGTGCACTAATGCATGCCCTTTTGGGTGAAGCTCTGCTGCCATCCTTCGACCGACAGACCGACAAATATGCAACCACAGACTTTTGAGAATACCCCACACACCCCATGAAAGAGCATGCTCAACGGGTATACCCAAATTTTCTTGGATTTAAAGCTTGCCAACTCAGGTAACAAACACCTGAGCACCTGTTCGTCTCTTTTTGTCTGCTTTCCGCGCGCTCGTTCCACTCGCGGTCCATGGTCCTCCGAGCTCGCCGTTCGGCGAGCCTAAGCTTCGATAAGTCAGCTGAGTCAAGTTACAGACGCCATCCCGAGACGAATTCACAAACTCAAACGGATTGCCTACAGGAACCTTCATGAGTTTTGGGTAGTTTCTATGTCGCAAAGGGGCAACCTTTTGCGGAGAGCGCCTTTGGATTTCGTTTGCGACTCTGACGTGTACAGCACGGAGTCACTTCTACCAGCTCCACTGGCAGAAATTCGACTCAGGTACGGCCGCATGAGATCCCCTTGTCCCGCCCTCCTCCAGATCTGGGGAGTGTTCTTTTGGATGCCCGACTCGACCTAATGCCCGAAAGAACCGGCCTGGAGAAGGGGGTGGAGCGAACTGGGATGCGTCGGCTCGAGTTGGCCGAAACTGGGCACTGCCCAGCTGTTCAAATTTGGACTTGGATGTCCAATGGGGAAACCGTTTGTCGACCAACCTGTACTTTGTGTACTTTGGGCATCTGCCTTCTGGTGGGTTGCTTGGTTGGCTGATTGCCTGTTGGTTGCATGCTTGGTGGGTTGGCCCACAAGGCAGGTGAAAGAACAGAAACCAGGGACTTTACAAAATTCAGTCCATGGGCCGGAAGCCATCTTCCGAGGGACTCAAGGCAAAGCGCCTCGGTCCCATGTTCGCACCCTGAGTTTCTTGTGTTGAGCAACCCTTCCTTCAAAGGGGGAGGGAGACCCATATTTCCTTCCCTTCGACAAGTCAAAAAGCCTTCGGTCCGAAATCCGCTCTCGCTTTTCAACGTCACCAGATGTCGGCGTCCACGTCGTAGACCGACACGGTATTGCGACGGGGCGCCGAAGACTCCTGGCTGAATCGCAGATGGTTGGTGCGGAAAATAGTTACACACTACTGGGCCTATATCCTACATCTGGGTTACACAGAAACAATATGTTTTGATTCTGTTCCATATTTTGTCTAGCCCAAAATATGATGCTTGTTTAGCGGAGACCCAACACACTGCTCCCCTGCAGATTCAGCTGGAAACCCAAAAAGCCATCATTCGAGTTGCCACTCCTTCAATGGAACCTGTGACGGCAAGACTCGCCTGGTGGAGGTGGTCACAATGGGAATGACGTAACCGCAGGGGCTTCGCAGGGAACAAATTGACACGGAGCCCCAGCCCCACAAAAAGATATGGGAGGGGGTCCTCATTACTTATTTCAGGTCTCAAGTAGCGCACTACCCCATTCCAACTGTTTGGGCCCTTCTAGGTTTCTAGTACCATTTCCTTTGCTCGCATTGCGAGTCTCATCCTCAGGGTGGAGGGAGTAGACACCACAGAGCAGCAAATCCAAGTCAAGAAACCTGCGCTGGCATCTGGAAGGAGGGAAGCGCCTAGAAAGAAACAAAAAGTGAGCAAGTGACCTCTAGTACTAGCACTTCAACGGAATCCTCCGGCAACAGCTGTGGTTTTGTGTGTTCTCTTTTTCAAAAAAAGTTGGGCGGGTCCGCAAGACTCGTCCATCGGTTTCAAGTTGGGATCCCCAGGTGTGACTCTTGAAGAATGCAGAATCGAAGCTGACAGATTGTAGACTTTTCCTCTTGGGGCTGTCTCCCGCAAGAGAAGCGGTTTGCAAGAGCCTTCCCTAGCAATTCACATTGCGCAATTGCAAACCTTGCCGCAAACCACACTATGACTTTCGGATCTTGAACAGGCCACCCCGCAAATCGAAACGAGCCTGCCATTTGTCGTTGCAGTAGAGCACGCGACCTCGCGCGAGCTTCGAGCCAAGGTCCAATCGGAGCGTTGCAAGGCGACATTGGTCCGACTTCCAAAACGGGGAATTCTGCAAAAATCGGGGTCCCCATGTTGGTAGTCAAAGGGAAGCCACAAGGAAACTCGCCATTCTAGGGAACAGTTTTGAGAACCTTTCCTAGAGCCTCTGGTCGCGACTTCGGTGGGGAATGTCCTACCACTTGGGATTCCTCATTCAAACTCATAGCCAAATGGTAATGATGTTTCTTGTTTCACGTCAAGCTTCACCATGGTGAGCCCCAGATGCCTCCGACAAATCCCAAATTGGTGGTAGCAAGAATCCGCCCGTTGAGTAATCGATGTCGGTTCTGTCTGATTACTACCAGTTCGAATCACTATGTCTAAAGTATTAGATTGTCATTTGACAACTTCACTTCTGTTCAAAGACACTGCCTGCAGGGTTGGTCCAAAAGCCGCGGCATTAGAGAAGCTTGGTCCCTGGTGAAAAAAGCCAACAAAAAACTGTGGACCAAGTTTCTATCCTTGTTGGTCATCTTTCAGGACCGGCTCGAATCGAGCAACGGATCCCCTCTTTCACCGGAAAGGGGGTGAAAAAGCAAACCTTTGAAGTCTGTTGCTGGCCTCACGTGTTTCTACCATCCATCATAGTCACCAAGCTAGCCCTCAGTGCATCTGTTTCTGTGGGACCAGTTTCACAACCAGAAGTTCCAAATTGAATGCCTCCTTTCCCAGCAGCGGTCTCGCTGATCCTGTTGGGAGAATACATTCGAAGTGGGCACGATGGTGGGATGGTCGTGATCGAGCACCGGCCGAAAACCGGTCCCGGATTTGCCCCGGCACCCTCTCCTCCCAGCCTTGCCCACTGCCCCAACCTGCCCCAACCTGCCCCATAGCCCCGCCGCCCTGCAATCCCCCCGCGCCTTTGATCTCCATGATCCGGGTCTTCAAATGGGTCACCGACAAAGGACCCCTCGGCTCCAGCAAGCTCGTGGGGAAGCGGGCTTCCTTGGTGTCCACCAGGCCTGAAACAATGCGAGAGCCGCCTGTCAAAGTGGCTTGGGAGAAAAATAATGAGGATTCTACCCCCAAGTCCACGAAGTCATTTGGTTTTACAGTACCCCAAAAACACATTCTGGATTGTTAGGCCTTTATAGTACCCCTACGGCTCTTGAAGTCAACGTTCAACCCGAAAACTAGGAGTTAAAGATTTACTCTTTTCTCGCTTTCCAGAGGAATCTCCTTTCAGGAATCGTACCTCTTTGTTGGGTTCCATGCCATCTTTAACTCGAGATCCTTGGGTGGACTTCATTTACACTCGGGCTTAGATTATGTGAGCCGGAGCGGTCAAAACACTGAATTGAGGGAGGAGTGCTAAAGCTGGAAGGGAGCAAACAGAAAATCCGGCATGCTTAGCTTCATGTTACGTCTTGGTTTGCACAGAATGAATGCGAGCATGCTATTCTGGGGGACATTGTCATGTAGCTGTCCAAACAATGGCTGATGTTCTCTTGGCTTCCCTGGTGCTTCCACCAAACCGGTGTGCCTATGTTATTTGTTTAAAAAAAGATATGTTTTTTTTGGTATTTGTTTTTTATGTTAAAAAAAGGCCCACATGTGCCCCGGTCAAGTAGGAACCTGAGATCCCAAAAGGACCCATAACCATCCCCACCCCCGAGGAGGGTGTTTTGACCATTGCACTACATGCCCGTCTCAACATAGAGGAAATGAACGATCTGGTGGGAAAACACAAGTTTTAAGGCTGTTTGGACCTTAGCACACATCTGGGCAAGTGTTCTAAAGTCATGAACTGGAAATAATAGAATTGATGCAAACACATGGCGCCCAAGTTTACAGGGTGGTTTGATTATGGCACACAGCAACCCTTATGGTTGTCCAAACCCCTAACGGGCCTATGACGATCCCTAGTACCTCTAAAAGGTGTTTTGACCATAGCACACATGGCCCCCAGGTGAGTAATTGTCAATACAACAACCAATAAAGATGACTACTCAAAATCGATACACATCAACCCGCACCGAAAGCGACCCAATTCCCCAAACCCCTGAAATTGATTCCCCATGGAACCAGCAAGATAACCATGGCGAGTGGGAAAGTCCATATTTTTTTTTCCCATTTGCCCGCGCCTGGCAGCTTGCCCTCCGACTGGCTGGAGTTCATTTCACGCTCCTCGCTCCGGCCTCCGGCTCGTGGGATCAAACGAAGCAGTAGCAAAATAACCCGCAGGGGGGATCCGTTCTCCCCTCCAAACAAGAAGCTGCAAAACTAGGAAAAACTGCGGGAAATGTGGGAAGAACCGAAAGAAATGTTTAGACCCCCCCCAATTAAAAACAAAACTTTCAGGGGCGACGTCTAGAGGGTCTGAAGAGGGGGGCCATGCTCTTCTTGAACCTTGCTTAAACCAAAATTTAAACAACCTCCCTTTGGTTGCTCTTCAAAGTTGCATCTGTTCGGTGCCCAATGTCTGGCTCAAAAATGAGTTCGCCAATCCGAGCTTTGAACTATTGGGTAACTGGCAACCACTATCCAGGGGCCCAAAAGACAATACGGTCAAACCTTCCCAAATCGTTTTTTTAGGCCATGTTGGTGGGAAAAAAACAAGATTTCAGATGGTTTCGGGTTGAATCGATGTTCAACTCCAGCGGAATCCAATCTATTTTGATTTCTAATCATTTACCAGTTGCTTTGACCAAAGGTTTGGTTCCAACCCTTTACTAGAGGATCCATCTATTCGTTTCAAGGAGACATGTTCACCGACACCCTTCCCTCGCTTCCCGCCTCGGGCGGTGGGCGTGAGGGGCGGCAGCAGGTTCCTTGAGACAAAAGCTATACCCTTTGGCTGGCGTAAAAAAAACCACAATCGGAGGGGACATCATAAAACAACCAATTGTTGAGGGTCCAAAGTGGACTTGTTGCTGGCAAAAAGAAGAACATCCAGCAAACATTGAGGTTTAAAGTCCAAAAGTCGACTGTTTTTGGTGGTGAAAAGGGGAAAACTGGGAAACCCGAAAGAAAAACAACATCCGAAAGGGCAAAAACTAAAACGGTGATCCCAGCTATGGCAAAGGTTCTTCTCGCTCCGCTGCTTCGGCGTACCCGGTTCGGAGCGCCATCCTTCCGTCATGGTGCTGCCTCGACGGGATGGGTCCAGTCAGGTTCAGCTATTTGGGTGTGTCTCAAATTGGGGGCCCCTTTTTGCATGGCTTTAAAGGGAAACCAAAATGGAACCACCTACCTGGAATTCCTTTTTTTGAGAAAACGAAGGCAAATGGAAGCAGTTTAAATCCCCAATGGCCTTAGCAAAACTTGAAGGTTTGCAATTTTCCAGGAAAAGGGAACCAACCCAGGGCCCGTTTAAAGCTCTGAATGATTGTCTTTTTCCATCCAAAACCTGCGGCAGCTACGGGGTTACAAGGCTGTCGGGCACGGCCAGTGAATCCTTTTGGGAAACTTAGCTGGATTCCACGAAAAGAAAACCAAAACAAACTGCCAGTGGAAACCCTCGATGAATCACGCTCGCAAACGGCGCCTACGGTGCCAGCTTTGCGGCGTTGCTGTGCGTTCCTACCTATTTTTCGTGGAGACCAACCAAGAAGATATCTCTGACATGGTGCGCGGCTGGGAAACTGTAGCGGAAACTTGTGCGCTGCCAACTCCCAGGGCGCACAACGCCTTCCAGGGGGATTCCCCACCTGCCAGATTTGGGGTTGTTAGGTTTTCGCCACGTCAGCCTGCCCGCCGACAGAGGCTGCGACACTCAGCTGGACAGAGCCTGTGCCAAACAGATGTGACAGAGCTTGTGACAGACAGCTGTGACAGAGCCTAACAGACAGGTGTGAAGCCGCGGCAGCCGTCAGTCCGAAGCTGACGGTGGCCGGCCGAGCTTGAGGCTCAGCGCAAGCAATGAGCCAGGCAGCTCAGTTCAGGCTGCTGACGTGGCCTTTTTGCAGAACCAGGCTTGCAGGTTCCGCCGCCTTCCCGAAGCTTTCATTTTGCTGTTGGGGCCACTTGGTCGCAAGCATCTTGTCTCTAGAAAGCACGCAAGTCTAACACAGGAAGAAGCGTGCGGCCCCTGAAGCTATGATTATACCAGCCCATGTAATGGGATCTTGGGCCTGCAAATGATGTGTCCTTGCAAGGGCTTGCCCGGTCCCTCGAAGAATCGGAGTGTCTCGGATGAAGGGAATGTCCCCTAACAAGTAACAAGGAAGCTTGATTTCGGTGACGGCTAAGGCTGCTATTGATTCGGGGTCAACGCTCCCTCCATTTTGGTTTCGCTGAGCTTCGCCGACGCATCAGCCAGCAGCATGCTTGAGCAGTTGGAGTGACTTTTTGGCGCCTGTGGGGTTGCAGTTGCGAAAATGAGGGAGTCTTCCAGAGCTTTGGTGGGAAACTCAACGAGAGCTTCCATGTCCCTCCGAAATGATCGACTCACCACATCTCGGGCTCCCAAACTTAAAAGTAGAACACCCAAGCATGCTTCTTGATTTCAGGGCATCCTCAATACGATCTCAAGGCATCAATGCCCCCTACCCAAACCAGTTAACTGTTTGCTTCTTGTCCATATTCACTGATCCTTAAAATGCAAACTGAGGTGCAACAGAGATCCCGGTTGTGATGGTTGTTGCACAAATGTCTTCCCCTTCAGATTCGCACCCCGGCCAACGGCTCCACGGGGAGGTCACGGAGTTGTGCAGATTCAGAAAGCATGGCTGGTTCATGCTGGTCTCCAAAATATTTGGACCCTGAACTAAACCATCCAGGGGATGGTTTCCTAGGAAATTCACGTTCACACTTCATCCACAAAACCCCAAAATCGAATCATCTCAGCTTCCCCCTCGTGGGTTCGATGATTTGAAGGTGTTCCGGGGGTGGCTTCCTATTTACCCTCTACAAGACTACAAGAACCAGGGGTTCAACTCCCCAAACAACCAATCCAAACCACCAATGAATGCAAGCACAGTGTGCCGGACATGATTCGCCTTATGCAGCTGCGCGTAGCACTACCAGTATGCGATCCTTTGTGAGTGCTCACCAACTGTAACTAAGGGTTGAGCATCCTGAAAGCAAACATTGAACCTGACAGGGTTCCTGGAAAACAATTGTCCTTTTCACGAGACGCCTGTGCGGGTTCCAAGAATATTGTTGTTGGAACGGTTTGCGGCTCAAGCCGCGGAAGCGGTCGCTCTTCTCCTGCAGCTGCTCGTGATCCTCCTAAGACGAGGGCAGGGTTGGCGTTTTTGGGGTGCGGCGTATTTTTGAGGTTATCCTGGAAAGAGAAATAGAAGTGATCCCGAAGGTATCAGGAACTCCTCAACATAAGACTTCCTAGCTTGCAACTACTTGATGCATCTTGCTTCACTTTCTGTCTTCTTCATACACTGTCCTTCCCATGCCATCTACGTCTACTGTGAGTTGATCCCATGGAATCATGTCACTCTCCTTGTCGCTCTCTTTAAACCGTGCGCCCTCCAGCTTCCGTCGTCGTTGTTCACTTGGTGGTCGGTGGATCCCTTGCTAACACTGAAAATATTTCAGTAGTTCAAAAGTCTAAGATGCCTGGGAACCAAGCTCATCACTTGCTCCTTCACCTCCATTCGGCACCCCCCTTGAGTCATTGAGGCCCTGGATTTCTAGGACAGTGCAACCATTCCTGGGCCCCACCCCACCCCACCCCACCCCACCCCACCCCACCCCACCCCACCCCACCCCACCCCACCCCACCCCACCCCACCCCACCCCACCCCACCCCACCCCACCCCACCCCACCCCACCCCACCCCACCCCACCCCACCCCACCCCACCCCACCCCACCCCACCCCACCCCACCCCACCCCACCCCACCCCACCCCACCCCACCCCACCCCACCCCACCCCAGCCCTCCTGGAGCCGGTGGAAGCTGCCGAGGAGGTCCTCGAAGTCGTGGCGCAGCTGCTCCAGCGCCGAGTTCTGGTCCTCAAAAACTGGTCCGATCGCTCGCTGTGTGCCGCGTCTTTCGCCGCGTCCGGAAGGCGACTTGTTTTAACGGCCGGAAGGCAGAAATAGGTGGAAATAGGTGGATTTGCGGGACAGATTCCCTGGAGAAAAAAAACACACCACGAGAAATGAGCGAAACAGAAGTGAAAGTCCAGGGGACCTGGACTTGTGGTTGGGTTCCAGGTTCGGCTTAGGCTTGGCTAGGGCGTAGGGTGGAGCCAGGCAAATGATCCTGGTTGAAAGTCAGGCCAGGCTCAGAACAAGGAATCCAACTTCGCACAAAAAAACTTCCGACACCTTGATTGATCGAGCGAGGTTTCGTTATTCGGGGGGGACCCGGACTCAGCGGAATCTAATGACTGACATGGTTCCGATCGCTTGCACTCACATGCTAGAACTCATGTAGGGTCACCTAAGACGTGCCTTATTTGATGGGAGAACAGAGTAGTGATTGGAAAATAGCTCCTCCCAGAATTCAGAAAAAGTACTAAGCACCTATAGTTTATATTTTGCCAAATTGCCGATACCCTTGCCAATACTAACTCCTTTCATAGTCTCAAGGGCTACCATTCCGGAAATCAATCAAAAAGGCTGGCCGGAAACAGCAAATGTCTTATTTCAAGTTGTTAAACAAAAAAGGCCTCACAAGCTCGTAAAGGCTACTCGCCTTCAAGGCTAAGCCACGAATAACACAAAAACCCCTCTGATTAATCAAGTTCCTCTCCAGCCCTGGAAAATCAGAAAATGCAAGTCCCTTCTACTTTCCTAGTGCAGTCCTAGTGGCAAGACAGACACTGGAAAGGACCGGACGGAGAGGACTTGCCAGGTTCGGATTAATCCGAACGAATCCGGTTCTCCCAAACCTTATCGACCTTGAGAGGGGGGGGGGGGTTTTACTAATCAAAAATCCACCATTAAAGTCGAGAAGCCCGTTTTGGAGGTTCGGTTCTTTTCAAAAGGAAACCAAAGGATGCCAACCGCTTGCAATCTACAAACATTACCCCAATTGGAGGGCAATTGTTGAGGTTTGGTCATTGAAGAACGGCTCGGATCCTAGGGCACCCCTGTTGGATTCCCCCTCAAAGGTTGCCCTTTGGGTTCAAATGCTTGCCACTTTGAGGTCCAAACAAATTGGCTGACAGGAGGGTTGTCCCCTGGGCGTCCTTTTTTCGCATTACCCAGAGACAAAATCCATCCATGCACATCCCAAAACGCCCCATCCGGCGCCGAGGGTTTTGGTTGCAGTTTGTGAAAGACTCCTGCTGCGTCCGCAGCTCTTTCACCAGCCGGGACTTGTCCTGCAAACTGTGTAGGGAGGGCTGCAGCAGGTTTAAAACAAGCAGACCCTGGCCACCTTCGGGTCTGCTAAAAGGATGCTGGGTCGAAGCAACATGGTTTAAACAAGCGCTCGGCCCAAGCCTGGTTGCAGCTCCCCATCTTCCATTCAGTTCAACCCGCCATTCTCCTCACCCCTGTCTTCAGAAACCAGTCAGTCATTTCACGGAAGGATCCCTGAACCGAGGGAAAGTACAGCTATGTACAGCTAGGCTCTGTTTTTTGCCAAACTATATACTCCCTTTGGAAGGTGGTGGCCAAACCGAAATTGGGTCCGAAACGGTAAACCCCCGTTCCAGTGCAACAAAGGTCTCTCAGGGCTTTTGATGCCCATTTGTGTGGGGGGGGGGGGGGGGGCATGGACCGCTTTTGAGGAAAACCTGAATAAAGTGATGGTTAAACACACGGCTAGTTTCAACATGGGGTGTGTCTTGAGGGCAATCGGTTTTCGTGGTAACTGCTCGCGGGAAGCTGAAAGGAGTCCCACATGTTGAGATAAGTCCACGTGCTAATGAATGCCTCTGCAAAACATGTCTAGACAGTGGTGATAAAATCGGAAAGGGACCGCTGAATGAGTTGATGGTTGAACAATGGTGGCTTCGACTTGCGTGCTGTTGCTCAGGGAAAGCAAGTGCAAACCATTTTAGGGCTCCAACGGACCCACGTATATCTAAATGGGCCACGATCAACATGCACGTGGGGAAATCCGTGAGTCTGTTTTTTTGATTGCATGAGTCCCCTCAGACCCCTCCCGAATGAAACATCAAGTATTCTGACCGAACCTCCCATCTCCACGAGAACCACTTCTGACTAGTATTTACGTCGGATGCACCCGGAATCCCCCTCAAATGAATTCATCCCCCCACCAAAAGGGAAGATCGGTACTTGAACATTCTCCGTATGAAGCGCACATCTTAGAGGGTGGGAGCCGCTCCTGTTGATACAGGACAATTAGAGATTCCCTTGGCTTCTGTGAGGAAACTTGGGTGGGCTCCCCGTGTCCTTCCAAAATGAATTGCAGTCTTTTGGATATATTGCTTACTTGCTGAGTTGAGTGGCCAACAAACAGTCCAAATTACTTCTCGCCCAAAAAAGCAAAGCCCCACTCACCGGGAGAAAGGGCAAGCTTCTCAAACAAGCTACGGAGCCACGCCATGCACACTAATGGGGACCCTGAATTAGTAAACTACTTTTTTGTTGGGGGGGTCTCACCCACTTTTTACCAGGGACACACCCGAGTAATCACCCAGGGGCTTATCATTCTGGGTTCATCAAAAATCGGACCCCCACCCCCCCCACCCATATCGGCTGGCCCAAAATCCTGTCCGGCGGGCCTTGAAATTTTCGGGGTTCGTCGGCGTCCAGCTCCATGGGTCCATTTTTGTCGAAACACAGGGATTTAGCAGTTTTGGGGGTATGTTTCTTTGATGCTTCAAGAAAATCCAAAAAACCTCGAGTTTTCCAAAAAAACTAAAAAAATCAGACCCTAACTCAGCCAGTATGGATACATAGGGTCTGAAATTTTGGTTTTTTGTGTTTTTTTTGGAAAACTCGAGGTTTTGAGCTACCGAGGCCACACAGTCCATTTCTGGACGATCCCGTACTCAGCCATCGAGGGCCGTTTGACTGCAGAAAACACATCCAAGAAGGGCATGCTGCGGCATTTTCGAGAAGTCTATGGCGAGGCTTTGGAAAATGTGCTGACAATTCCGAAAACACTAAAAAATGCTTTTTTGAACCAGCAACCCGCCCAAGCACGGCCCCAAGTCATCCAGCAAGCCCAGCCCAGCCCAGGCCCACTACACCGGCCCCCAACTCCCAGCCCACAGCCTCAGCCCACGGTTTGTCTAACGTGTCTGAGACTGGCCTCAGGCCAATGTCTGAGACTGGTCTCAAGCTACGCCAGCTACTAAGCCTGTCTGACGTGCCCCAGCCCCTCAGTCCGGCTACGCAGCTCAGCCCCAGCCACTAGGCCGGCCCCCAGCTCCCAGCCCACCACCAGGCGTGCGAGACTGGTCTCAAGCTGCCCCAGCCCCTCAGTCCAGCTCAGCCCAGGCCTTGACCTCCTGCTCGCGTCTGGCCCCAAGTCATCCAGCAGCCCCCTGAGACTGGTCTCAAAGTATGCCAGCCTGAGACTAGCCTCAGCCCAGTTCCTCAGCCCGCCTGCTGGCGTGTCTTACTGGCCTCAGGCCCAGCCCAGCCAGCAACTCGCCACCCAGCCTCAGGCCCAAGTGTGTATGAAACAGGCCTTTCCCATCCAGCAACCCGCCCAAGCACAGCTCAGCCCAGCCCGCCCAAGTTCCAGGCGCAACCAGCAGCGTAGTCCGGCCGCCCGGCAGCCAGCAACCCACCCATGGCTTCGCAGCCTCGTGGCTGAGACTAGCTTCAGGCCCAGCCCAACCAGCAACCCACAAGGCCCCGGCGCATCTGAGAGCTAGGCCGGCCCCCAGCTCCCAGCCCACCAGCAGGCTCAGCCCAGCGTGCCAAGGTCAGGTTTGTCTAACGTGCCGACCAGTCTCACGTGTCTGAGACTGGTCTCAAGCTACGCCAGCTACCAAGCCTGTTTGACGTGCTTCAGCCCCCCGGCCCCAAGTCATCCAGCAGGCCCAGCCCCTTCGGCGTCTCAAGGTATGCCAGCCTGAGACTAGCCTCAGGCCCAGTCCCTCAGCCCGCCTGCTGGCGTGTCTATTTTGGGGATATTTTTCCGGGGTACTTAAGCAAATGGAGGTTTGTATTCCCACCATGTACCTGTCTTGGGCTGAGCAACCGAGCAAGAAATGTATGTCATGGCAAGCCGCCAGCCACGTGAAATGGAGGTGCCCAAACACCCAAAGTTGGTCTTGGTTGTTCAGTGACACCAATTATTGTTCCCCTTTTTATGGAGGCCAAGCCCCACTAAAAATGCTCATCCCCAGAAAGAGGTCCTTTTTTTTCCAAGGGCACTGAGCAGCTGAGATAGTCTTGGTTTTGGATTTCAAACCTTCCGAGCAGGACGGCTTCCGAACATCGAACTAGCACGGGCGAACTGGTGCGGTCACAAGCTTTCAGTAGGATTCGGACCTTCCCAACACTGGATTTCGGTGTTCCTGACCCTTCCCTCAAACTAGGCTTGGGCCGAGGCGGGCAACGCGACGCGTTTACAATAATACCGCTTGAAATACATTCAATCCACTAATAATTCAGCTTCCTTCCAGTTGGTGGCTTGGATTGGTGGTTTGGAGGTGTTTCGGTGGTCCTTTACAATCTACCAGTTGGGGGTCAAATCCAAACCCAAACCTCCAGCCCAGACCGCATTGCTTTGGATACCTGAACAATAGGTAGATGTTCCTCGTTTGCGGTGTGTTTTTACAGGTTGGACCCAAATGGCTTTGGTTGCTCTTTTGGTTTCCGTTTTATCAAAAGGGGGTACCGAGCAACTCAAAAAAAAACGAGACAGAGACATTTGCCTGGGTGTCCTTTTTGAAATGTGCATTGCTCCAGATGATGGAGCCCGGAAAACCAAAAATCGCCCTCTATGTTTCAACCAAACCAACAAGGACAGCTATGAACCTTCATTCCCGTTTGAACAAACCCTGGCGTCAGGTGCCCGGAGCCTCAAGGATATCAGCCTCAAAAACACAAGCGACTTCATGCCCATTCGGGTCTGTCTTTCTTGCAGTTGCTCCGTCCCCCCCTTGTCAACGGCAGTTTTGGTCAGGACACCGACACATCCAACCAAAAAAACACATGGGAACCACACCCCTCCCGTGGCCGCCAGGCGTTGTTTTCTAGGTCCTCCAGAGAGAGGTTAGAATAAGGGTACCCTTTTTTTCTATCTATTTAGTAGGGGAACCCTCCCCCAAAAAAGAAACGGTAAAAGGCCAACTACTGGTGGTACCTAGTTGTTGTTTCACGGAAGGTGTGGGGCCGGACATGGACGACTTCACCGCGGCCTCCTTGAGCTCCGCCAGCTTCTTGGTGGTCTCGAGCTGCTCCGAGCGCACCTGCTGCAGCTCCTGGAATCGATGGACCCGGTCGCTCGCCCATGGCTCGGTCCCACCAAAAATCTGAACGGATGAAGCAAAAAACCCGGGAGGGGGGGGGGGGGGGGGGCCACGGGGGACAACATGGGGGAGGCCGATTTCGCTGGATGAAACCAGCGATTCCGCGCGAGTTCGGAGGGTACCGCGAGCTCGTGATTCGTGGTCCTTTACCTGGATCTGGGATTGATACGCGTCCTGTGAACGAATGCAGAAAGACCCTGCGCAGGTGGGTGTGTTACTCTTCTTTTCAGCGATGGTCATGCGGTTGAGTCGCCATTGCGGGGTTCACCCGGCACCTGAGAGGTCCTCGGCAACGTGAGTCGTCCCAAAGCCAGGTTTCATCCAAAGGATTTCGCCTGCCTAACCGGAGGTTCTATGAAAGGGGGGAGGCAGGAGGTGGTATTAAGGGCTTAAATATCAATTTGGGGTGATCATATGAGCAATGTTCGGTTACGCACCTTCAAAATGTTTTTCTGTCCGCATGCAGCGAGCCTCAATTTCCAACACGATCCCATGCCTGGATCTAGGCTTCCCACAACGACAGCGCCAAGGCTTGGGCGACTCACCCCCCCTTCCACCATGTTTGAACCAATCTTCCTTCAACCGCGTCTTGGCCTTTTGGCTTCTTCAAGACCAAACATAGGTTCCTTCCAAGCTCCCCCCCTTTCCCGGCCTTCGCCAGCTTGGCGTGAATCTTCTGGAGCTGTCCTCTCGCTCCCAAAACCCTTGGGTTGACCCACCAAACGAGGGCAAGAGTTGGCCCAGGAATCAACGGAAGCTAGAGACTTACCACCTTTGCTCTGACTTCCTTGGGCTATGAATCCCCCATCATCTTCGAAGTATCCAAGTGCCGTTCGAGCACCAAGACGATCGAGCTTTGTCAATATGACGCGTGTTTTCAGAAAGCCCTCCTGTGCAAAGTACTCCGGGATCCCAAAGCCAGCCGAAACTTCCGAACCTCGGCCCTTCCGAATTGAGTTGGTGTTCGACACTCAAATCGAGCGTTGTGCTCAGTGCACAAGCGAATGTCATGTCCACAGGGTTGAACGGTTACCGGCCTCACTTGGACCTAGGGCTGCCTGTTGCGTCCGATCTAATGGCAGTTGGGACTTGCTCGGGGCTGGTTTAATTGCGGTGGGTTTTAGGCTGGCTTCCATCTTCATGAGGACGGGCTTGGGCTTGTGGGGAATTCAGTTAGTATCGGCAAAGGGCTGATACCAACGAACCCGAGACCCGCCCTCATGAAGATCGAAGCCAGAGGCAACAGGCAACTGTCGGTCCAAGTGAGATTGGTGATGTTGGCGTTGCTGATGTGGCCAACCAACCAACCAACCAACCAACCAACCCAACCCAACCCAACCCAACCCAACCCAACCCAACCCAACCCAACCCAACCCAACCCAACCCACCCCGCCCCACCCACCAACCAACCACGGCAACGCAACCGAACCCAAACCAAACCAAACCAACCCAACCCAAACCAAACCACACCAACCCATCCCACCCACCAACCAACCACCCCAACGCAACCCAACCCAACCATCAACCAACCGGGTTTAAGCCCCAAGGGGGCTAGTAAGAAAAAGGCACCGGTTCCACAAGCTTAGCATCAAAACACACTTGGCCATATGGTGGTTTGGTGGGAGGGCAACTGGTCTCTCAGCGTGGTTGCTTGGAGGAAAGACAACCCCGGATCTATATATATATATATATATTGAGAACCTGCAAAGAGGACACTTTAATGAGCCCAAACCTAAAAGGAAGCCATTGGGCAAAACCCTTTGGTTTTCTCCCCTGAAAAGGATGCCCGAAAGGGCAACGCCACTCCCCGCACCCCGACAAATGAGCCAAGTAACCCAGCTTATCGTTGAGCAGCTTCTCCATCTGCGGGCAGAAGCTGATTAGTGTCAAATTTTGGGGAACCCAAAGAACAATGGCTTTCCTTTTGAGCTGGCTTTAGACCAACCCGAAAAGGGCACCCTCACACACACACACACACACATCAGCGACCCCGGCAAAGTCCCGTGGCTCATGAGCCATGGACCGCATTGCTTGTCCCGCCTGGGTCCGAAATTCAGGCGGTCCCACAATAATATGGTCCCTCATAGGAGCCAGTGTCATTATTAGTTTCCTGCTCCCCAATCAAATTTTGGTGAGTACCCCGATTTCCGAACGGTCATTGTGTGCCAATGCTACCTCTGCAAAAAGTACGCAGTTTCTGCGCCGGTGGCTTGGATTGGTGGTTTGGAGGTATTCCGGACATATCCACCCTCTATAAGAACCAGGGGCAATCCCCAAACCACCAATCCAAACCACCAATGAAGGGTAGCCTGATTTCAAGACATCCGTTGGAACGGAGGTTTCAACGGTGAAAACCTCCCTGAAAACCCTTCGTGGGCACATGGGCACCGAACCAAACGGGTCGAAAAAGAAATGGAACCGGACCTCCGAAATATGTTCAGATGGATGCATCATATTTAGTCCATAGAAGAAAAAGTCGTTTAGGAGACCAAAGCCAGCAATGTGTGAAATTTCGGCGCAGTTCTCAGGGAGTGAGCGGAATGACCCCAGACTGAACCATCCAACTGGCGATTGATTCGACAAGCCCCCCTTGAACCAGCAAGCCCATGTGGGTGTTTCTCAAAATTGCGGCACCCCCAAAATCCCTGTCTTCGTTTTGGTGTCCTTTTCAAACCTCGAATTGACGCATGACGTTATAACCTGTTTTTTTTTCGTCTAGTGGAAGCCGCCTCAAAACCAGGTCGAACTGCCTAAAACGTTTAGCTTTTTGTATGGAAGCACATTCAAATAACCAGGTAGAACCGCCCAAAACACCGACGCGCTTCGGAGCAGCGGCTTTGCGCCTGGGCGGCATCGTCTTTGATCTTCTGGTGCTCCTGCTCCATCTGGGCGTGCGAGGTCTGCAGCTCCAGGTGCTCCACCCGCAGCTTATTCAGCTTCTGCTGGATGGCCTGGATCTGAAAGTCCGAAAGAAACATATGGCTGTAGGTCAAAAATGGGTACCCAAAATGGAACCCTGGTAAATGGAACCAAGGACTAAAATCTGTGGTCCCCTGGTGGTCTGATTTTGACCCATATGGAACGAGGAGAGCTATCTGGTAAATAGTCTAGGGGGTTGATTCCAACCCTTCTTTTCAACCATCGTTCTTTCGGCCGTTCTGCCCGGGTTTCCGGAGGGTTTCTGGAAAGAGGATCCTGGAAAGAATGGGGAAGGAACCCCTAGAAATATGGTATAGAATTGAATGATTAGAATGTTCATCTGGTTGATATTGGTGTATAGCGGCGCAACAATAAGGGGAACCTTTTAGGGTCCTCGAAAAAGCCGCTCAAAAGGGATCAATGTGATTGTGAAATAGACTGTACTGGATGGTTGCTTGGTTTCATCCTGTTTCTTCCTTCAGGGTCTTCTACTGAATGGGCTTGTGGCACCCTTTTCACATACCTGACCTTCAGTTCGGGCCGTCCTGGCTTGGGCCATGTTCTTAAGGGGACCGGGGGTCCCGCGAACATCAGGTTCCATGTTGATTTGGGGGAGGATAAACCTCTGTTTTTCCTTTTTAATTCAGCCCCTATCAGCGCAGCGTCCATAAAGCGCCTTCCACCGAATTTCCACCCACGGGCTGCCCTTTGTGGCCAGCCGGTTGCTGCAGTATCGAACTGGACAGAACTAGAATCTAGAGGGAGGAATCCATGGAACAGGTTGGCAACGGCTCCCTGGAGAGCAAAAAATGGCCTGACCCATTCTCCATATGTCCATGACTATCCATTCCTAGTCCCTGTCCGGTGTGTTGACCATGACCTCAAACGGCTGTGGATGATATGGGTGGGGTTCCCTCTTTGATTCGGGCCTCCCAAAATGGAGTTGGTTCCTTCGCTGTCCCTTTAAAACGACAAAACAGTGGCGGCACCCTCAAAAAAAGACAGACCCACCTGATGATCCAGACTAAACATCTGCAAAGGTTGTTCAGCTCGCGGGTTTCGAGAGCCGTGCAGATTGACACGAGGTTTCCACAAAACCATCTTAGAGGAAACTCTTTTTGGGGAACACCCATGTTCGGGGAGGGCTAGCATAGCCTCAACTGAGAACCCTACCGCTTTGGTTTCCTTCTGGTAGAGTGCCGGCCAAGCCGCCAATCTCCTTTGGGTCCCAAGGGATCTGCACATCTCGCAACTAATCCTCATGTGGGGGTTGATCAAAGGGTCCTGGGATTCCCATTGGGGCAAACCACTGTTCAACTGAATGAGAAAGTTACCCATGGTCATTTGGGGGCCGGGAATATTGATCGGCCCTCATAAAATACCAGTGTTTCCCAAATGCACCAGAGAAATCCTTGGTCTTGAATCCTGGTTGTGATGGGAAATTTGGGTGGTCTCCCCTGCCCTGCCCAAACTAACAACGACCGGAAATTTTGTCAGCTCCCACCCAAGTTCTCCCAAGGGCAAAGTTTGTTCGCTCACGGCACTGCCCAGGTTTTGCTGTGAATCCGTTTTGTTCAAGGATGACCCTACTTGAGCACAGACCCTAGTTGACCACAAAGTTCAATCCCCTTTTCGCAAGACGTTGAATCGAAGGTTTCTTCACTGAGCTTTCCCCTCGAAGGAAGCTGGTTGACCTTTGTCGACCGGCCAATTTCTATGATAAGCGAAAACCCCTCGAAAGTGACCAGGGCAGAGGAGAATCACAAACATATATGCCTCAGCAAATGGAATTTGTGAGGTTCCTAGTTTCGACAGCGATTTTATTTGGAAGGCCCCAGCTCAGCCCCCTTTCGGCCTGATACTGCTCCTGCATCTTCCTCATCTGCTCCTGGACTGAGACTTGCAAACGCACAGGTAAGCCGCAAACAAATTGATATGGGCGTATCTGTTTTCCCTGCTTATGTACGTGTGTGTGTGTGTGTGCGTTTTGTTCTTTTTGTGTGGGGGGGGGGGGGGCATCAAGTGTTGTAAACCTTGCAGTTGATTCAGCTGGGGGTGGGGGGGGGGGGGTCCGGCCAAATGAAGAAGGATTTCCTCCAAAATGGGAGTATCCATCCGGGCTTGGCATTACCAGGGGCAACTGATTAGGTCTCTTTTGTTGTGCTGGCATTTTGAGATGAAAATACTTTGCCCTGGTGGTTTACCTCACGGAGTCGCCAGGTTTCAGCAGGTTGAACCTTGGCTCCGGAACGAAAGTCGCAGGGTTCCGTAGATGTTCTTTTCTCCGTGTCTTTAGGTAGTTTTTGTCCTTTGTGTTCTTTGTTTTTGTTTCCGTGTTTTGCTTTGTTCTTTCGGGTCTGTCCATCTTTAGTGAGTGGCTGCAAAAATAGAGCTTTTTGCTCACATGCCAAGGGTTGAAAATGGAAACAAATGCACACGGCTCGAATGCAAATATAGGTTGGAGATGTTGCGAATTGTGCATAAGGTGTTTGACATGAGAAACTTGGGCTGAGTGATCCATGAAAACGAAGAGATCTATGGAGTCACCGGCATCGGGCCATAGCTCCATTCCCCATGAGACATAGATTCAGGTGGCCACGCTTTTCTTCCAGAGAATTGGTGGATGGAACATAGGGTGGTGGTTGCATAGTTTTCCTTGGAACATGATCCTGAGAGAAAAGACAAATACCAGGTTCTGCAATCACCAGCCTCAGGAGGAACTGGCCTGGCTCACCAACGCAACTGGTTTTGGCACTCTTTTCCCTTGGACCGGATCCAAAGTTCGGAAGCCATCAAACCCGTCACACCTCCTCCGCTTTTCTCTCTCGTTTCGGCGCCTCCAGGAAGGCAGACTTGTCGTCCTCCTTTTGGATCACCACCGGAGGGCGATCCTTTAAGATCTGGTACTCCTCCGACAGCACCACGTAATCCTCGGCCGGGCAAACGAAAATAAGTCGAAGAATTTCAGGTTGCTGGGGGTGCCTCTTCACCCCCCCCCCACTCTCTTGGGAAAGGGAACAGAAAGGTGTACTTTGCTGAAAAAGTCTGGTGTATGCAAGCTAACCAAACAGCACCACACAAGCACGCGATAACTCTTTTATCCGAGCAATGTGTTGGTGCCAGGGACTCATCTTCCCCTGTCAGATGTCAAAGGCTGGGTGGGCCCCATGGGCCACCCAACTCACAATCTCAAAAACTGAAGAACGGGTGTGCAGACTGATAGCGCCCGCCCCTGAACCGGGGCCCGGGGCACCCAGGCCACAGGGGGGTCTGCCACCAGGGGAAGTGAGTCACCCACCGGCTCCGGTCACGGGAGCATGGGTGGGCCCACGCTAAGATCAAATGCATCTCCATTCAGGAGACGCGGGAGAAAAACGAACTCCTCGCAGAGTTCCTGTTTGGGGACCCTGTGCAAAGGGTCGAACCCAGAGAAATCTGGGTGCGTCAGTTCATCAGCCCATTGGTTGAATTCCCGGGGCACGTGGTTGGCCGCCAGCGAGCAGCCATGGGTGTGGAGCAGGAAGACCAGCTCCATCAGGATCGCCGCCGTGTAGGGCTTCTTGGATCCAAGGTTGAGCATCGCCATGACGGACGTGGCGTCCACCTTAGTCTGAGCCTCAGTCTTTCCGGGGTGTCCTGCATCCATGGGAAGGTGGGGCTTGCCCCCCCTAGTAATTCCGTGTGTCCTTTGTCTGACCCTCCAGTCATCTGTCCCTGGGCTTGCTGCTTGCCCTGGCGGTTCTTCCCGCCCTTGGAACGCCCCTTGCCGGGCGGATCCTCACCTCTGGGTCTCTCTGGGGGGTCTTCCCACTGCCTCGGTGGGTGCGGGGGAAAGGGGTGCTTCCGCCCTTCTGGAGTGCCCTGGCTGGGTCCGCTCCTCTTTATTGGTGGAGGGGCTTCCGGGGCCGGTGGCACCCTGGAGAAGTCCCCTCCCACCTGAGGCCGTCCTGGCCTCCCCCGCTCTGTCTGCCTTCCCCTGTGGCTCTGGTGGGGTTGGCTCTCCCCCGCTGTGTGCACTCTCGCACTGGTGGCCTGTGATCCCAACGGAGACCAGGAAGCCACGGGGCCTATGGCACCCTGAGTGGCCTCCTGTCACTTGGGAAGGTGTGGGCATGCCTGTGGCACATGCTTCGATGGGGGGGCATCGCACACCCACCCATCCTTCCTGACCGGGCAGTTGTGGGATCGGCCGCATGATCCCGAACACTTGTTGTGGAGGTGATGATCTCTGCAGTACGCCACCCCTTTGGGATTCTTGAAAGCCCAGTGGTCCGGCCATGGAACCGAGAAGGTGTTGGGGGACTTCCCCTTGCCGCCCTTGCCCTTCGGCTTGGACCGGGTCGGCCCCGAGGGCCAGGAACCTTTCCCCCCCTTCTTGGGCTTCTCCCACTGAGTCTGCCACACCTTGAGTGCCTTGCTCTTGCTCTTCCCCTTCTCCGGCGCCATGTTGAGGTGCTCATAGACCTCCCGTTGCCAGAAGAGGAAGTCGCCCCTGATGTTCTTGAGGGCTTCGGAGAGAGTGGTGCCCTGGTGCACCATCTCGTGGATCTTGCGCCATGCATTGCGCTCTGCGAACAGCAAGGTGGTGTCGCTCGGGGGAGGCTTCCTGCCGGCGATGTCTTCCCCATAGAACCAGGCATACCAATCGTCCAACTCCTCCTTGGTGACCCTCAGGTTGCCAAACTGTGGCAGTGCTGCCGTGCACATCAGGAGCGTCGTCCTGAAGGTTAGGTGCAATCGTTCCAGCTGGCGCCGAGATGTAGGGTGGCTCCTCACCTCTTCTTCATCCTCCCTGTCCCAGCCATCCACCGTGATCTTCTTGTGGGTGGATGAGGGGCGTTCCCCCTCTTCCGGGAGCGCGCTCACGATATGTTTTGCCGGGATGTAGCCCAGCTCACCCTTGGCAATCATGCGCCATTGCTTCTTGAGGTAGCCATCACTCCCTTGGAACTCCAACCTCGGCTTCGGGGTCCCATGCGTGGCCACATAAGCATCTTCCAGCTGGCGCCTGTCACACAGGACCTCCAAGGGCGCCTTTGTCGGGCCCGCCTGGCCCGCCGGGTGATCACCTTGGTTGCCCCCCCGGACCAAGCTGGCTGCCACCCGAACTGCCTGAAGGAGGCGCATCGCCGTGAAGGCCGAGGTCTGGGCGTTGAACCCGTTCTCCCCATCCCGGAATCCCAGGTCCCGGGGACCATTCTCCCTAGCCGCCGCCGGGGTGTCCCAGCGATCCGCCAGGTCTTCCACCGTGACGTATCCCGATGCGCCCAGAGCCGCCTGGGTGGCCCAGGGGATTTCCTTGCCCACCAGGATGGCCGCCAGTGGCTTGTGCAACTTTGCCACGTCCTCCTTGAACTCCGCTGGGACCTCCTCCGCCATGACCTCCGACCTTGGTGTGGGTGGGTGGGTTTTTCACACAAATTGGGTTCAAAGAACCCAGGGCAAAGCTTGAGCCAAAATGGCATGCGCCATTATGGTCAAGCATTTCAAACACAGTTCATGTTTCCACATGCGTTTCAACATTAACAAAGTGTATGCAAGCTAACCAAACGGCACCACACAAGCACGCGATAACTCTTTTATCCGAGCAATGTGTTGGTGCCAGGGACTCATCTTCCCCTGTCAGATGTCAAAGGCTGGGTGGGCCCCATGGGCCACCCAACTCACAATCTCAAAAACTGAAGAACGGGTGTGCAGACTGATAGCGCCATTTCCGAAGGACAGTCTGGCACACCCGCCATTTCCGAAGGATGCCAGTCTGTGCTGAGGGCCCTGGCCAGGGCCCTGTTCCGGGCCTCCCCTCCCCTTGGTCGCCAGGGCCGGGGCACCTAGGCTGCCAACGGTAGGGCCACCACCTCGGTCTCCGACTGGGTGTCTACAGAGTCATCCGTTTCAGAGCCCGAGTCCGCCGAGGAGTCCGAGTCCTCCTGCAGTGTGGGGACCTCCGCAGGTTCCAGTGCCCAGTCCGCCGGGAAGCCATACCTCTTGAAGCAACGTTCGCACTTGCCATAGGCCTCCTGCTCTGTCATGTAATCCAGCACCGAGAGCTCCTGGATCTTGGAAGCCGCCGGTCGCCAACCACACCCCACAGCCGTGCCTTCGACATTCAGCAGGTGGATTCTGGACTGGCCGGCGTTGCCTGTGCGTTTGACCGCCGCCACCACCCGAAGGGGGAGGTCCGGGGTGGCGGGAAACAGGTCCTTGGCCTTCACTGGTGTGTCCTCGGGTCCGTGTTCCACCACTGACCATGAGCGAGTCGATGGCGCGCTCCCTGAGGGTACCGCGGGGGATGCCTCCCCTTCCCTTTCTGTTTGGTCCTTGCGGCCCTCCGGTCCTGCGTCCGTGATGTCCACTGCTGGCGGCGGGAGCGGGTCCGCCCAGTCCGGGTGGTTCAAGTCCTCCCTGCGTTCCCTGCCTGGCCCGAGGTTCAGGTTGGGGACCTTCTGCGCTACCTGGCCCCCAATCTCCACAACCACGTTGCGCTTCTCCCGCACGTAGACATCTGCTGTGCTCTCCGTGAGCCAGTTGCCCAGGTACATGCGGCGGTGCTGGGGGATCCCCATCTGGAAGGCGCAGTCTGGGATGAACACTCGGAATGAGTGCCACGTCAGCGGCTTCACCAACCCCGGGGTAACTCCCCGGCGAAGAATAGCATCCTTGAGCCATCTCAGAGCCCTTTCCGGCGTGGAAGGTCTTGGGATCAGCCCCGCAAAGTCTTTGCTCACCGTCGGGAGCAAGTAGTCCATGTCCTGGAATGCCTCCTCTGACACCAGTCGCCTGACCGAGGCCACCCAGGTAGTCCACCAGAGGATCCCCGTGAAGCTGTACTTCGGAGCAATCAAGGGGACCGGGTTGCGGTTGATTCGCGCTGCTGAGACCGTCTTGGTCTGCCAGGCCTTCAGCTCCACAGTGTTGCTGGTGTGGATAAGGTCCTTGGGGTGAACATGCTGGAGGTCATTGAAACGAGCGCTGCACCCAACCTGGAACCGGGCGAAACCCAGGATGAAAGCGTCCAGCACCTCGTGTCTGCTCCTCCCCGGGGCCGCCTGCGTACCGGGGCCGGTGGCACCCTGGTGATCGTAGCCGGCCCCCTCCTCCAGGGCCCATATGACCTCTTTGCTGGGGACCACCGCCTTGCGTTGTGGCCTGGTGACCGTGTCTGTGAGCGCCTCTTCCAAAGAGCTCTTCTTGGACTTGAGGCGATGGAGCTCGTCTATCTTCAGCAGCCCGAAGGTCTTGGAAAACCACTTGAGGGTGTTCCATACCTGCCGTAACTTGCACGGGGTGACCTCCTCCTCGGCGAGCTGGTTAAGTAGAGAGCGGACATGTCGTTCCTGCCATGGAATCACTGTGAAGCCCCTCTTCCGGAGACTCTCGTAGACCAGGCAATGTTGCCTGAGTGTTCGGAACCTACTGTCCCCCAAGAGGTCCAATGCCTCCTTGCGGAAGTCCTCCCCCAGGATGTCCTGCATGTATGCGATGTGCTCCGCAAAAGGGGCGAAGTGGGCAAGGAGCCGTTCCGCCCATTTCCCGCGCATATGGAGTTCCAGCGCTCGCTGGGTCGTGGGCTCCATTTCCCTGATTTTCCCGGGCCGCCAGTGCCTCCACTTCAGAAGCTCCGGCTGTTGGAGTGGGGGTGGGTCATCTCGTGAGAACCACCTGAGTTGGTCCTGGCGGTCCCATTCATTCTCCAGCGGGGAAAAGTTCTCGCTCGGCTTGCCATCCGCAGCCGCCATGAGGAGGAACCATAGGCTGTCCCAAAGGTCGGCCAGGTCCGCCGCGGACAGAGGCTGGGGAAGCCTGCCCGCCGCCGACGCCACCAGGCCGTTGAAGTAGTCCGTCGGTACCACTTGATCGTCTTGCCCTACAGGAATGCCCGAGAGTTCCAGGAGCTGGGCGAAGCGGACGGCCGGCTCCCCGCCCAGCTGCC